ATTTGTGACATAGATCAATACATTATCACTCAAATGGTTGCCATGTCGACCTGATTTCTCTAAATGGAAAATGTTGCATCGTCGTGCCGTATGAGCACTAGAATGATCAATCTTTACTAAATGGATGATCATATTACTAGCGATCGCTTTGTTGCCATTGACAATATGATACATCGCATTACGCTCGCATGTAAAGTCTAAATGATAATAAAGCACCATGTTGGCTCATCGTTACCCTCCCGATAAGAGCCACAACGGCCTTTCTACCTTGTACTTCACACCCTCTTCGATGTGCATGTTGTTTTCTTATGCAACGCCACCCTCCTTCGCATACACAATGCACCAACGGGTAGCATCCTCTTCCTTTATTTCCATATTCACTTGCACCTTCTAGTATACCGAAAGCTACATGCATAGGTGGAACCACCGTTAATAGCCGCTTGATTTTCCAGTCCGCCCATGCCAACAACAACAACAAACGAGCTTGTGAAGTTTACGTTGTTACCGATTGAGTTATCGATATACGTGCTGCACACAATTTGAATCGATAACCAATGCGCCAAATGTATTTACAGTAGCTGGGTATGAAGGCGATGCATGATCAAGGATGATGGCGAGTGCATCATTACCCCGTGGGGTTTGACGTTGTTGATGTAAGCCATTATATGCTATGCCATGGCGAATTCAATCATGTCATGAACATACACAAAATCAGGAGGCAACATTTCATTAATGAGCAAAAGCTCATGTTTGGTACAGGGCAATTTACAGACATATGGAAGATAAGAGGTATGTAAGGCTGACATTATGCACGTGCCTCCCTATTTTTTATGCAGACAAGCTAAATAATGCAAGTCGGCGGCTGAAGCAAAGTCTTTATTCTAAGAGGTGGCAACGCCGTATCAATGCTTAGGCTATGTTGATTTTGGATTTGATAAGGAAAAGTGTATGAAGAGAGGCATAGTCCACTATGCAAGCAACTCATTTACAATGATCAGTGGCAACCCTTGCAACAAGGAAAAGTTGCCCAGGCACAAGGGGTAAGGTCTGTACTTTTTTTCAGGGGTGAAAAAGCCAATCTCGACCTAGTGCAATAAGCGAAGGCAAGGGATGGGGTGGTTGTTGTACTTCTTACACAAAAGCAGTAATCGATGATTACCCAACAAAAAAAGAAAGCGTACCGTACCTGTGTGTGGCACATGTTATAATGAGTTGAATTGTCACAAACGTCACGGATGACATTGCCAGGGCGGACCCGACCCCTGACGACAACATCCAATCGCAAACGAAGCTGACCGAGAAAAAATTTATCGTTTAAGAACAAGTGAGATTGGGGAACTTGTTTGTTCTTCCCTTTTTTCCTTAACCCCTCTCTATACAGAAATGGCCGAAAAGTCCCAGAACCAATTCGTTATCGTAAGTGGTTTAAATACACATACAGCATCGTTATCAGCAACATCATGTATCAACCAACAACATTACATGATAGGATTTCCTTATGGGTGGTGTCTCTGCCGCCGTCTCCAAGACTGCTGCTGCCCCCATTGAGCGTATCAAGCTCTTGATCCAAAACCAAGATGAGATGATCAAGCAAGGTCGTCTTGCTACCCCCTACAAGGGCATTGGCGACTGCTTTGCCCGTACCATGAAGGACGAAGGTGTTGTCTCCTTCTGGCGTGGTAACACTGCCAACATCATCCGTTACTTCCCTACCCAAGCTTTGAACTTTGCTTTCAAGGATAAGTTCAAGCGTATGTTCAACAAGGACAAGAAGAAGGATGGCTACTGGGCTTGGTTCGCCGGTAACTTGGCTTCTGGTAAGTTTATTTGTTTACATACATACATACACATGCATCGGAGTGGAAAAATCAAGGGACCGAGTGTAAGCTAAATTTTGAATCTCTTTTCAAATAGGTGGTGCTGCTGGTGCCTCTTCTCTTTTCTTCGTCTACTCCCTTGATTACGCTCGTACTCGTCTTGCTAACGATGCTAAGGCTGCCAAGGGTGGTGGAGACCGTCAATTCAACGGTCTTATTGATGTCTACCGCAAGACCTTGAAGTCTGATGGTATTGCCGGTTTGTACCGTGGTTTCACCATCTCTTGTGTTGGTATCATTGTCTACCGTGGTCTTTACTTCGGTATGTACGATTCTCTTAAGCCTGCTCTTCCCGAGAACCTCCAAAAGAACTTCTTGGCTTCCTTCTTGCTTGGTTGGGCTGTTACCACTGGTGCTGGTCTTGCTTCCTACCCCATCGATACCGTCCGTAGACGTATGATGATGACCTCTGGTGCTGCTGTCAAGTATGACTCTTCTCTCCACGCCTTCAAGGAAATCGTTGCCAACGAGGGTACCAAGTCTCTCTTCAAGGGTGCTGGTGCTAACATTCTCCGTGCCATTGCTGGTGCTGGTGTCTTGTCTGGTTATGATGCCCTTCAAGAAATCCTCTTCGGCAAGAAGTTCTAAACGCCATTTCTATCTTCTCCTTTAATCACTCGCTCCAACATTACAACACATCCATCTTGAAAAACTATATCACTCTTGTAGAAGTTGCAAATAGAGAGACACTCGGGGGGTAACCCCACATGAAAGAAATACAATTTCTTTGTTCAAAGGAAGCAAGATGGTTCAATTGTGTATGGGTATAATGGGGCGGGATCACTTGAATCGTTGTATCATGTGATAGAGCTATAAGCAAATGCGTCTTATCAAAGATCACCAAAGCGCGTATCATGTGTAGCATTCTCTACTTGCAAAAGCAGTTGTGCCGAAAAAGCATTGGGAATCTAATAAGCATGCTGTAACAATCATCGTGGTATAATGGATCAATGCTTTGGAAAGGGGTAATTGCTGAACCAAGCATGGCAACGCGCACATTTATTACCAATGATCACCATACGCCTTTTCTAATAAGATGCTACTCTAGTAGAATGTTGATCACATCCTTCCTCTTCCTGTCATTTTCCTTTCTCACAGCATTTACAAGTGAAGTTCCTTGCTACAATCCTGTATTAACCTCTCCATACTCTAATGCATCAAGTATCCACACACAACAACGTCCCATTCGGAAGAAGGATGATCTCTTACACCATACATATTGAGAAATGGGTGACCAACGCAATCCCGTATTCGACAAATCCTTTAATCCAACATCATTCACAAGAGAGATCGAATTGCTGTCATAGGGGAGATACATCGATGTGGCAAGTTTCTATCCTTTGGGCGTGTGTTGTGCAAAGGTGAACGGATGGATGTGAACCGGCACTTGATGCGTGATGGCAAATCATATGCGTAGTGTGCAAAGGTGGAGCTGGATGATGATGGTTGACAAGTTGCACAAAGAATGATGGTAGTTGTTGCCATGGAATAGCGTATAGAGTACGTAATCAGATGCACCAACCGATCGCGATGATAAGGTCAATGGACAAGTTGACATGGATACACTCTTTTCCACGCATCGTATATACCCAGATCCATCCCATGTACCATACCAATATCCATATCCATATCCAAAACAACGCGTATGCATTGAAGCAAGTTGCTACACGTAAATAAAGCTGCTGCTGTACGATGACTATCTGCTGTTCACGCAAAGAAAGACTGCTGCACGCCACTTGAGACAATGGAATAAAGATCTTGCTAGCTGCTACGTGTTGTTGTGGCCGAGGAGTGTGCAAGAGCGTGTGTTGTAGTAGAGTGACAAGGCTGTGGACGCTGTATGAGACAATGCAACAAACACCTTGCTAATAACAACCACTGGAATGAATGCTGTAACGTGTTGGTTGTGGCAGAGGAGTGTGCAAGAGAGTGCGAAGAAAGGTGTGTGGTGTAGTGGGGTGATCACGCCATGGACTTGCCACTCAGTTGAAGACAATGGGATCAAGACAGCTGTAGGGTTGACATGATGGGTGTGTTGAAGCAGGACAATCGTTCACAGGTGGTAATTGTACTCGAAGGGGGCAACAGTTGAGAATGGGAGGAAGAGGAGGGAAGAAGCTGAGCTTGGAAGAAGTGGAAAACTAAATGAGTTGAATTGATACTTCTTTCTTTGAGCGTTGTTCAGTCAAATCCTCTCGAATCAAGAAAGTTAAATGATGGGCATGCTGGGCCCGAGCAAGACAATCGTTCGTATGCATTGGATTGGACAACAAAGGTGAATGGGTGGAATGGGCTATCAAGTGGTAGTTCACAAATAACTTTGCCAAATGATTTTTGTGAAATTGGATGATGTTTTCTGTTTGAGCGTTTTTCAGTCAAATCCCCTCGATTCAAGAAAGTTGAAGGATGGGATTGATGGGCTAGAGTAGGCGAATCGTTCACATGCATTGGATTGGGCAACAAAAGTGAATGGGAGGAAGGGGCTATCAAGTGGTAGTTTACAAATAATTATTCAATTTGATCTTTCTCATATTGGATGATACTTCTGTGTTTGACCATAACTCAGTCAAATCCTCTCGGATCAAGAAAGCTGAAGGATGGAAATGATGGGCTGAAGCAGGAGCATCGTTCATATACCGTGGAATGGAAAAAAGTCGGGAGTGTGATGGAGAGACTAATAGCTGGTTGAAAATTCGCTGCCCTGGACATTGTTCCAGAGGGGAGCTTACTTCAGAGGTGATCTCTTATTGTAAATATGGACGGCAAAGGATTGCAGGGGATTGCAGGTAACTGTAAAGATGGATACTACAAGATCATTGGGCAATGTTAATCCATTCAAAAGTCGACGAACGAAGCTTTAGCCATTTTAATAGGGTCGTTTTCTTTTGAGATGGGTGCAGGATTTATAGATTATCATTTCTCAGCTATTGGTCTTGACAAGATGATGTATGATCAGATGGTGATGGTGGTGCCTGAATGAGGATGTGCCTGTGTGAGAAAGAAGGCAATAGAAGGTGCATCAAGTATCCAATCCAATCCGTTGTATGAGATAGGGCCTTGTCGGAACATGTTGCAGGTAACGGCTTTCCCACCTCTCTTTTACACACAACACCCTTCACCAACATGGCAGCCGACACTACAGCTCAAAAGTATGCAACATGCCTAGTTTATTGGATACGTTACTCATGCGCATCATAGGAAACGCAAATGGGATCTTGACGATCAGGGGCAGAGCCATACAGAGACAGCCAACAAAATCACAAAGACAACCGATGAGTTTTCCAGCAAGTCGTCAGCAGCAAACGATAGCTCATCCGACAAAGGTGGTGATGATCCTGGAAAGGCTGCTCTTGGTAAGCTTGGATCGTTCAATGAGAAGGACAGCCTTTTAACACTGGTATATAGATGCAGCTGCTGCCAAGATCAACGCCATTCTTGCGCAGAAAGGTATCAAAGAAACGGTCAACGAGCAGCGTGAGAAGGGCGACGGCGAGTTTGTCAAGAATATCCCTATCAACGATCTCAAGAACCGTTACATGTTGACACGAGGAGCTACTCAAGCACAAATCCAACGTGAGACCAATGCTGGTATGTTTGCAAGCTTGTATTGTGTGAAGGATTTCAATGTACTTATTCATATGGAATAGATGTGACCACACGAGGCAAATATTATCCCGATAAGGCGTTGGCAACCGATACAGAACCACCATTGTATTTGCATATTTCAGCTACTACCAAGGAATCATTGGAGAAGGCAGTTGTCATGGTCGAGGATATGATTCAAAACGCCACTCTTCCAGCACCTACACCGCATCCTGCTGAACGACGTGAGGTAAATACATTTTTTATGGAGCTCTTGCCATGATGATGATGATGGTATTGGAGATCTGATCAATTGTGACAATGTGAGATGCGTCTTATACCTAACATTACATTAGCGAGAACGCCGATTTTTCGAAGAGAAGATTTATGTGGGATTGGAAAGTACGCCTCATTTCAACCTAAGGGCAAAGATTGTCGGACCACAGGGCTCTTTCGTCAAGCATATTCAAAGTGAAACGGGTACACGAGTGCAATTGAAAGGCAAAGGATCAGGATTCTATGAAACAAGCACTGGTTTGGAGGCTGAAGAACCTTTACATGTTCACATTACGTAAGTACTTTTATACGTTGCATTGATCTCTTGATTTATTGACACATCTTGCTATCGTAGATGCACACGAGAAGAAGGTCTGGAAAAGGCCGTTGAGCTTACGAGGGATCTGATCAATACTGTGAAGGCTGATTATGATCGGGCACAGAGACAACCTTATGGAGGATACTATGGACATCATGGACGTGGTGGTTATAATAGGGATTACTCACAAGTAAGTAGCATGATGATGACTGATTGGGTTTTTCTTAACTAATGATCGAAACGCTTTTTTAGAATTATGGATATTACAACCATCAGCATCCACAGAGCTCACCACCACCATCCACAGGATCCGGATCAGCAACCCCCAATGCTGTAGACGCACGGCAATCAGGTTCACCAGCACCAGCTGAAGGAGGTGAGGCCAATGCAACATCAGGAGCCAATTCACAAGCGGCATATGCGGGTTATGATTACAGCCAATACTACCAGTACTACGGGTATCAATATGATCCAAACTACTATAATTATTACGGCTATAGCAGTGGCTCTACAGATTATCAACAACAGCAATCACCATCTCAAGCATCGCCACCACCGCCACATCATCAACAATCATCACCACCACCGCCACCACCACCTTCTGGCAATGATGATCCTTATCAGCAATCATACAATGCCGTGCCACCACCACCGCCACCTCCTCCATCATCGCAATAGATCTCCAAAAGGCTTATACGATCATTGTCGGCTTCATCATCTATCAAGTATTGTTGTGGTTTTCTCTTTTATGATCGAACGAAACGTGTCTCGGCTCATGTTCTTCGTAGTGGATCTCCAGTGGTAAAGCGCCTTACGACAATGATTGATTACACAAGCCAGAAGCTATCTGCATGATTAAGCTCACCTATATTGATAGTCATTAGAGAATTTACACGAAGCAATAAAGCCCACGATATGATAAAGATAAGCACAATGACTTGAAACCATGTATGATCCAACATCTATTTTGTAGTGTACCTGCCTCTTTTTATATACTCTTGAAGACTATTTGAAAATCAGTGGAATATGGACTTTTGTAACATGAGATGCTGAAGCATTATGAATGGACATAGGATGTGTAATTCATTTATCGGTGTGAATAATGGACATTGTTGCTATGGTTACAGGCATCGATATCTTGAGGATTGGTAATATTAAAATCAGGAAAATCGGGAAATGATGCTAAAGTATTTGCATTTGAATTGGTACTATCTGAGCACGGTGTCATGAGTGAGGTGGCATTATCGACAGCGGGCCACGGAAAACTACTGGCAGTGTCGATTTCAGAGTAAGGTCCTGTTATAAAGTTGCAGAGTGCTTGCCAGTCCTCGATATCGGAGTTAGGATTAGCTGCTGTAGCTGCAGGATGGTGAGGTGGCATAACAGGACCAGTGAATTCGTTTGTTGTCGTGGTTTGGGCGGAAGCGTTAAGCCTGTTGATCAACTCATTTATATCCATGTTAGGGTCTTGAGTAGGCATAGCTGAGTTGTAGCTAGGCAAAGAACCGAGAGAAGGATCGAATAGGCTGCTATCGATGTCAAAGTTATGCCAAACGTCAAACGCACCCGAATCGAGATACGACGCCTCTAAAGATGTATGCTGCTGCTGCCTGTTCTTCTTCCAGCTATTGTGGTTGTAATCAGGAAACCTCTCAACTTGTTCCTCTCGTGAATCTTTCCATTGCTGCTGGTACTTGTCTTTCACGTCTTTGGGAACTATTCTCCACACCGCTCCTAGGAACTTGGATATGTCGCCTGGGGTATACTCAGGGAATAAAGAATGAAGCTTTCTTGCATGAGCACTGCGATAACGCATAAAAGCATTCGCCACTCGCTTTTCTTTAGTCTCGGTGAAGCTATACCCAGTATCAGTGGATGTTGATCCCTGAGGTGTAGCCGTATCGAGTAACCCTTCTGTTGCTGCCAGTATTTCACGCGACTGAACCCATTCGCCGCTATTAGTTATAAGGTGATTTTGATCCTTTTCGATCATTGCAATGATATCCTTGGCTTTGATGTAGGCTTGACTAGGATGGATTTGAATGACGGAGGTGATTCCAATACGTGTAACTGTTATACGTTGGATAGCTAGTGGAGGAGGTCGTCGATCAGGCCTTATAGCTCGCAAAGGTTGGGAAAACCTGTTAACTCGTTTGCTGGCTCGTGGCATTCTCTTAAATACACCAAGAAGTGAAAGAGTCAATGGAAAATGCCATCCACCCTGTCAACTGCTTTATTCAAATGATTTCATTGGGTTAGCGATCTGCATGCAACTCGAACAATGAATTCTTCTTAGCCCCTTTTTAAAAATGTACCCACCACAAAGAGCTTTCATTGATCTTGTACTTTTCGTTCTATGAGCTTAATACAATCAACCACATTTGTTCTCATGTTCTCATCCGTACACATCAACGACAATGACATAAGCGAAGTACAGGTCAACAACATGTTTGGTATCATTGTGTGTGCATAATGGGCCATGCCAGGAGCGGTCATTGAACATTAAACTCACCTACGCGCATGAGCGCACAAAGCACCACAAACAATTGATACCTGCTGTAAACTAGTTATTAAGTGGTTCATTGTACGCAGCATTGGTAACGTATTGAATTGATTGTACATATCCATGCATACAGCCATCTCAAAAGACAGCATAACTGGTACCCGAAATTACCTATGTAGATTTCGTCCACGATATTGGATTCTTGAGACTTGTCTTTTTTTTATTGAAACGAAGGTATAAATCAATCACATTATAGAACGTGCAGCGGCATTAGTGATGGATGGTGCTTCAGGGGGGTCTCTAAAGTAATCTCGGTGACTTACTATTCGTATCATCTTGCTTGAGACCAATCAAAACAAGCGTTCTATTTCATATAGCTGACACCACAAGCTTCCCCAATGGAGCATTCAACAGAATTGCCAGTGCGCATGGCACCTTTGAAAGTGCCGTTGAGACGGCGATTGCAAACGGCGGCCGGTAATTGGAGTGGTCTACAGCATGCATGTTGACACCAACGGCTGCATTTGTCTAGTTCTCTTCTGGGGTATTGAGCCATCGATTGTCTTGTGTTTTTTCATGTTCCTCGCTGCGATACCATTGTTCTGGCCGTTGCTGATACCGTATTTGATATGGATGTGGATGGATAAGGCGCCATGTCGTGGAGGTCGTCGTGTTGAATGGGTACGGAATTGGCAACTATGGAAGTTGTTTGCCGAGTATTTCCCCGCAACGATCGTCAAGGTAGAGTATCAACATCATTTGACAACAACATCAAGACATTGGTTAAGTGAAAGCGTGAATAGGAAGCGGATTTGGATCCCACAAAGAATTACGTGGTAAGTAAAAAGGGAAAAGAAGGAAACGATGTATCACATGCATTTCTCGCTCACACGTACGTACACTTTAAAGTTTGGGTAGGGAAAAAAATCAAATCAGTTGCTGTCAAGATACCCATTACTCAAGTGATCATGATAGTTATCATCCCCATGGCATCATTTCAGTGGGCGCCATCACCACGTTTGCAACCGAAGGAAATGGATTCTCTCAACATTTTCCTGGTATCATCCCATCCCTTTTGACGTTGGCTGGCAACTTTAAACTTCCCCTGCATCGCGACTACATCCTTGCCTTGGGTATGTGTGACGTTTCCAAACAATCATGCAAGGCCGTTTTGAAGTCTGGTCCTGGAAGATCCATTGCGATTGTTATTGGCGGTGCTTCCGAATCGCTTAATGCTAGACCAGGTGTCATGGATTTGACTCTCAAGAAGCGCCTTGGCTTTTGCAAGATTGCCCTTCAAACAGGTGCCAGCCTTGTTCCTGTTATCAACTTTGGCGAGAACGAGCTGTACGAGCAAGTCAAGAATGATGATGGATCATGGTTGCGTAAATTCCAGAGACAAACACAACGCTTGGCTGGTTTCACCGTACCTCTTTTCCATGGTCGTGGTATCTTTAATTGTGAGTAAAGGGGACATCTATATGACAACGTTTGCTGATCATAATTTCAATATAGATGATATTGGCCTGATGCCTCATCGCCGCCCCATGCATGTCGTCTGTAAGTATCCCTAGTCCCTTTTTGTATCGATTCACGCTTCTCATCAATGTCTTTATTAGTTGGTGAACCCATTGATCCTCCCAAGGGCGATGTGGAGAATGTGGATAAAGCTGTGCAGGAATTACATCACCAATACATGGAAAGCGTCAAGGCATTGTACGGCAAATACAAGGATGTTTATGCAAAAGATAGAGTAAAAGATCTAGAATTTGTCGAGTAAAAGACTTGTTCTCTATTACAAAAGGGATTGTACAATGATTTCATGATTCTCCCAATAAGTGATGGGTACCAAGAGCTTGGCAGCTGCGTCCACATCCGTCGCCAACATGTCAGCTAGTCTCTTGCCCGAGCGCACGAAATATTGATCCGATGCCTTCAGCCTTAATGCAGGACAATAATCATTCTAGAAAAGAACATGGGTGGTGTGAGCAAGCCAATTCCTATCACATCCAAGATGTCGTTTACAGCACATACCTTTCCATCACCAACATACATGATGTTTCTAAAGGGGCCATGGGTGGCAATATAGTTGTCAAGCTCTTGACCTAATAGTAAAGATGAGCCACTGCAACGTTGTTTTCCTTTTTCAACTTGGATGCCGGAATGTTGTGTACCTTTGCAAATGTTGACGCCACATGGGTTGGGGCAATTGTGTTGTGGATCAGTTGCAAGAATACGTCGTTTGATGCGTAAGCGACCTTGGTCATCGATGTATGCTGGGTTGGTAATGATGTCACTGACGAGATCACGTACGCCGTGTTCCTGTACAACACATGCCGTCAATCCAATTTGCACACGTACAATGACACACAAGCACATGAAACGTACCTTGAGAATGATATCAATAAAGTGGGTATTGGCATCAGACAAGACAAGCACACGTGCATTCTTAGCCTTGAGAGCTTTGAGGAGATCCATTGCGGATGGTACCTAATGATCATTCATCGATGCATTAGTATCCGTATCCATGGCAACAAAAGTTAGTTACCTACCAGCTGCACATTGCGTAGCACCTTTTCAATCTTGTCAAGCGTATAGCCTTGGTCTTGTAGTTCACACAATGATTGATCCCTTGTATACCATCCATTGAGATCCTTTTGTAGTAGCCCTATTGCATGTACATGCATCTTACATGAGATCGGTCCATTGAGTGTTGGTCATGGTCTTAGCCCTTTGCCACTGCTCGGATGATAATCCAGTTAGCACGGCGGCATCGCTGTCGGCTTCAATAAGCGACCTATAGAACGTAGCAAGTACAATAAAGAGCCATGAGCAACATGTTGAGTTGCCATTGCTGGAATGTGTGCTTTACCAATCGAAATCGAAGACGGCAAGGTCTTGAACTGTCATTTGGGTTGAATAACAAACAAGAGAAAGGGTGAAAAAGTGAAAGAGGAAAGAATGCGGAGGGAGAGACCGCAACAGAGATGCGAGTTGATTATACCCAGGCAATTTGACACGTGCCCATACACAGATCCCTTAAAATGGCTGCATGTCATTATCATTGACATAATCGTGATTCATGTGGGGAAGGGTGCCATGGGAACACAAGCTCGTGCCCTTAAGAAGGAGGCTGTTTTGCTTTAACATTTTTCATGCGACATGGTTTACATAATAGTAAAAAGTGATCTGTTTACTTCCGTGGTAATAGTAATATTCTACAGGATGTGAATGCCAGAAAGATATGGGGGGGTATGTGATGGTACAAAAAATATATACAAGTAAGGGTGTACAAGTAGTGTAAATGAATGGGAAGCGAAATGTGAGATTTACTGGTAAGCCTTGATCAAGCCTTTGATGGAATCGATGGTACCGAAAATCAAGCCAACGATACCAAGAAGGATAATGAGTGCACACCATGCAATCTCATAGATAGGCTTGTTGCGGAAACCGGTGAGACGAAAGTAAAAGAGAACAGGGAAGATGAGAATCAAACCACAGTTGGCGAAGGATCCGATTAAGCTCATGAGCAAGTCAAAGTGAGGAACAGTGCATGCGAGAACACCAACAACGCACATGATGACAACACGCATAGCTGCTCGGATGAAGAATTCACGCCACTTGCCAAGGCGTTCAACGGTGATGTCGAGCATTTCTTCAACATCGAGAGAGAATGAGGTCACGAGAATAGGCACTGCCATAAGGACGTGGATGGTCATGAGAACAATGGCAATGATTTGAGGCACGCCTTTGGGGATGCTGTTGTACACAGGGTTCTCGACATCACTGCCATAAACGTAATAGCCGGGAACAGCTGTCAAAAAGTACAAGGCAGCACATGTACCAAGACCAGCAGCTGCTACCCAAGGCCATCGGTTAGGCTTTTTCATGGATGCTTCGACGTGAGGATAAACAATGTTGCCGCCAAAACTGAATGAGATGGTTGATAGCGCAATAGGAAATTGATTCCAGATGACGTTGTCATGGTGAACGTTGACCATGTTCTTTTGATCGATGCATGCCATAACAAGCACAATAATGACGACAACGGCAGTAGAGAATGCACCAAAGGCACTCATAAATGCTACTTCTTTCATCGTCTTGACGAATACAAATGGGATGGCCACGATGGCTGTTGAGATAATCGTCCATGGTGTGGTACCAATTTCACCGACAGTGCCTTCACAAAGCTGGTTAAGGTTGGCACCAGAGAGCACCATATATAAAACAGGAGCACCAAGGGTAATCCATGCGCTGAAGAAGAAGGTGAGCCAGCCACCGATTGAACCGAAAGATGCTGTAGCAACGTCCTTATATGTCATCATGCGTGCACGTCCTTTGACGCTGTATAGACATTTGATGAGGATGATACCGGTATACTATAATAATGAATCATTGTTAAAAGACATGCATTGAATAAAGGTGATTGATAAAATGAGACTTACTGTTGACATCCACCATGCAAGACAAAGAATAAGGATACCAATCCAGCCACCTTGGGCAAGAGCATATGGAAGACCAAGTGTGCCAGTGCCTGCAATAACACACACAACGTTGAAATAGGCCATGAAACCACTGCATCCTTGGCTTCGATCAAGGGTGTCCATGCCAGTTTTTTCGCTGGCAGCATAGTCATAATCGAGTTCTATAATGGTCGAACAATGAGTTATTGGTGTCATTTGACGTCTTCATTGTGTGTGGATAATTACCGCTAAAGACCTCCTCGGTCTTTGTGGATGGTGGTCTACTAGCACCCTTTTCTTTGTCAGAGTTAAAGAACATAAAGAGAATTGATGTAATGTGGAGTAAGAAAGGGAAGCTAAACAAAGTTTCACTCGTTTGGCTCTTTATATATTGAAACCACAGACAGCAAATCTCTTTTTTATTTTGAGCGCGTGATCCGAATACGATAATTATCCCTTTTTGGTGCGTCCAATGTTTCTGCACACAAGGCCACACACACACACCCGCATCCCACATACAGCTATATTCTTTCTCACAGTTGTTCCCACGAAACGCAGCATCATTTGTTCGATCGTTCGATAAGATAGCTTCAGGTAACCTGATGTGAGGCGCCATAATTAGGTTTCTTTCTCACGATACTGCCCTTTTTAGTCCTGTGATGAGTATCGTTTTACCCATGGCTTTCAAAATGTCGGGCCGGATGCCAAATACCGAGGGTACATGAATTGACACTCAGGGCAAATCATAACCACTACCAAGCAGCTTGCTACATGAGTCACCTCTTCTTTCAATTTGATTAGTGGCGGAGAGAAACCAATAGTGTGTCTCAATGAACCACTCAGCGATCAAGCAATAGAACAATCATCCTTGGCACATAACACATACAAGCCTCGCTACATCCTGTTTTTCGTCACGTTGCACGAATGCATACGTACGTATTGTAAATACATCTCGCGTTTGTTTTGGGCATGCATGGTAAGCCCCACGTTGTATCCATAGTGTTGGACGACATGCATGAATTGGGAAACAAACAAGTTTTATTATAGGTTCACATTGACCAAGCGATGATTAAGCTGCATGCAGGCGGTGGCTATTCTTGAAAGCAGCAGCGGCACAGCAGTCTAGAAATGATGGAATAGTAGGAGTTGTTCCTTAATCCAAGGGGGCGGTACATCAACAACGGCGACATCATCCTTATCACCTTCCTATCCTTTTTGGCTATTATCGTTGTCCAATGTATATTACGTAAATGATCCTGAGCCGTTTCACGATTTTTTTATTGCTACCCTTTTCTTCAATACGATGCATCCTCCCACGAGGTAACCAGTAACTTCTTATTATCAGCTATACTTTTCTCGTATGTTTCAATATCCTTTTGCATCTTGCCAATCTTGCTCAGCAAATATCGAATGCGCGTGTCAAATTCTTTGGGTGGCTTTCCATTGTAGACCCTTGACAATTGAATAACTGTGTCCTGCAGCTTGGCTAATGACTCTTCAGTGCTGCTCTTTAGGAATTGTTGAGACTCGATTTCCATCGATGCATTGAATACGGTATCGGCAACCAATCGATCAAACACAGTATACATGATGGGCTTCCCGGGTCTGACCGAATTAGGACGTCCTAATAGGTAGTAAAAAGGAAATAAGCCCAACCGTAGCGATGATCATTTGTTTCTCATGTTTCATATTCCCTCTGCAACAACCAATCATACCATTTTTATGAAAGATCGTAATGATCTCAGCCCGCTCCATGGCCCATAGTGGTTTATCTTGTCCTTTGAAGAAGGGACTCCATTTAAGCTCATCATAGTTGATCTATCCAATAAACAACGCATGAGTCATTATCGATGATGCTCCTCAAAGAACCGTCAAAATTACTTACGCTCTTGGATTCTGAAAGGGCCTTGACAATTTGCCAGAATTGGATACCTGTCCACTCCACCTTGACATCCTCGAGCTCATTTTCAGCGCCTTCATTGAAGCCGTATTTGCGGATTTCGACTACATTTCGTTGCACAATATCCTCAAATGCAGCTACAAAGTAGATTGGATTTAGTAAAAGATGCCTAGGATATATGTCTTGCATCACCCCATACACAATTAATTGTGCCCCGGATGACTTACCAGTGGGCTCCATGTTCATTTTGAGTCGTTGTACAAATAACTCCAATTCGGTCAAGCGCCCTCCAAGTGATTCCACAATCTTTCGCAAATCGGGATCCACTTTTTCTTGGCCTAATGTATCAGGTCATGAACAAGATTAGTATATGGGTGATGATAGGAAAAGCACACGTGTCGTTATTATCCATACCAAGTTGTCTGGCGATAAAATTCAATGATACTTCGGGTGGTACATCTGATAGCTGTACTGTCTCAAAGCTTTTGCCTGGCAATGCCTTGGTAAGAATCTTGTTGACGCCCACATTGGATGTAACAAAGACGACATGGGCCACTTCATTCTCCACCAATAGACCAGCAAAGTCGGCAAGCTCATTCCACAGCTGTTCTTGCTTGGGCGTATCGCGACACAAAAAGTTGTCAATCACAACGACAGGGATCTCCTCACGTGGATCGATGTTTTTGAATTCGACCCCACTCTCTCGTGCATTCTTTTTGTCCTCATGCTCCCACCAGCGCTGAATTGCTTTCCAAATGCTGTTCTTTTTGTAGCCATCCTCATCATCTTCATCCTCAGGCATGATTTCACGGAGTGCCACGGCTGTTGTCTCGAGGATCTTTTTGATCTGTGCATGGGGTGATGATGCCAATCCAGCATTTTGACCCGTCGTGGCAGTGACAAGTGTATCCAATAGCTTGCTCAATGATGCGATCCATGTGAACACTGGGAAATAGCCGAGTTGCTTAGCAAGAGCCAATGTCATTTCAGTTTGATTGCGCGTATTGGCGAGTTCTTCACAATCAATGGTGATCTTGTTGCTATCGATGAAGGTATCAGAATAACAAAATCCTACCTTTAATAATGTAGAGAATCACTTACCGGCGATTAGCAGTCGTAGCATTGACCACTGATGATTTGCCACTACCCTTGGGACCAGATATCACAATAAAGGTTTCTACATGCAAGGAAAACAATACGTGAGAAATGCTGCTATAATGGTATACATATGAAATGTCACTTGCCTGGATCTTCTCTCAACCATGTTCGCAACTTGTCCATATTTTCTTGATCCTGTGCCCATACAGAAGATGCTGCTGACTCGGTCAAGGAACGATCGGGTTGCACCAATCTTGCCCATGTCTCACGCCGTAACCACCTGTAAAGTGCGTATTCTTCAGGATTGAATCGCTGAGTGACTTTGGATGCAATAAAGAATTCTCGCATGGGATCAAACACCGAGTAGGTCAAACCGGCTAACAGGGCTGCTCCAATTGGCACCGTGATACGTGGATGCTCCATGATCCATTCTTTGACAACATTGGTACGCTATGGATACGTATATATGAGTATACATGGCAACCATCCCATCTCCAAATCCCATCTCCATCCTACCAATTGTCGCTCATACAAAATGTTGATACGTTGGCCTTGAATAAAATGACCATGCAAACAATTACGTGCACTTGTAGCAGAACGAATACGAGTGAATTGAGCAATGGCGTATCGAGGTGGATCCTTGCTGGTGTAAGGATTGGGATAGACGGCGATATCATAAATGCGGCCATATTTGCGTAGGTGCTTGTAAAGCCTTTCCACAGTGACAGGCTCGCCTTGGAATTCGATACGCAATCGGGGTGATGGATATCGTGCTACCATGTCCTCATAAAATGGCTCCCCTTTGACCAAAAAAGTGCGAATCGGCTGCATGTTGAAGGATGCACGGTGATTCTTGAGATTCTCGGAAACCTTTTCAACAATGTCATATGCAATCCGCTTCTTGTCTTCCGCCTTGCTGTTGAATGCAAACTCGACAACCGCGCCACCATCCTTGATACTATACAAATGCAATACTCAATATCCCATCCATCATTTCACGTATCGTTCTCTTTTACCGTGGCTCTATACGCTTGATCTTAAAGCCATGGGGTATCAGCTCGGGTGATGGAAGAACACGATCCATGCAAGCCATCGTATTACGGAAAAACCACTGACGGATATCCAAGATGCCCACTCTCAAAGGAAAGACATTATCCAAGTAAAGCATAGCCGTTTGCTCTTCGACATTGCCACCTGCTGCCTATAGGTTGTGTGTGTGAATTACAAAAGGTCCACCCCAAAGTGCCTCCTGACATGTTGAAACGTACTGTAGCTGCTTCTTCCACCAATCGCCGTGCTGAAGTTGCGAATGACGTCCGTTGCCCCGAATGAGAGCGTACAAGCAATGCACGTCGCTGCAATGCAGGGTGCGATGTGTAGAGTCGCGTACGTGGGATCATTGAAAGGAGCACACGATCGGGTAGCTGCCTGCGTTCGCTCATTAAAATGTGCCGTGATCACCGCCCGCCAGCTTACAGGTTACACAAGCATCCCATCCCCAAGTCAAAGGAAAATTGATCTACACACACACGCATAATAAAATGTACTGCGATAAGGTTTTGAATGCTATTTATACCTCATGTGGACGTGTCAGAGTTCATCCTTCAAGAAAAGAGGAGAGATGACAAATGTTGATCATTGTGGCGTTCATGCACGCGTAATAGCTTATTTGAAACATAACAAATAGTTGTCCACGGCAACATCGCATGGAACAGGAAGCATCACCATGACAACATGTGTAACTATCGACCCTTTAAAGAGCTATTTCTAGGATCCCATTCTACCTTTATCCTTTGATTTGGTCACATGATATCCATGTTGCTTGTATGTTGAATGATTTTAGCCCGTGAATGTCCTCCATTGATTATCGTATCCGCTTGTGAGCACAACGATCATTACCTTAGAGAGAGGCGTGTCGTCCTTTCATATACGCTAGCTAATTTCATAATGGATACTGCGTATTATCAGCTGCTAGGATTTGCAAATGTTGCGTACAAGGATGACTTCTGGTGATAGATAACTCATGTACATTAAGCTCAAACATAGACCATCCATCATGCTCTCCCCCGTTCTTTTGACTCCATGTCTTCCTTTGTTTTTCGTGTCAAAGTGCATTTACTATAATTGAATGACTATTACCATCATTCAAGCTACAGATGCTATCGCGTGTTGTGGGTGGGATGGGGAATGATAAAGTAACGCTAAGCAAGCAAAGGTGACGATGAACATGATGTTGATTTGATCTTTTATTTGTGAGTATGATTGAAAAAAGTGTGTGTATATATGCTAAGTGAGTTGCTTTGAGAAAAATGTGCGTGGTGTTATGTGAACCGGGTATTAGCTGCGTAAAAGTATATATCACGTGGGCGGAGGTCGTGGTGGTTGTGGTTGTGGTAGCCTGGATGGATGAATGAATGACCTGGCGGAAAGTGGAATGGTTGGTACGACAATGATAATGATGATGATGATGATGGTGTTAGAAACCCAAGACATTCTCCAATTCATCCTCGTCACTCATAAGCTCGGTAAGTGCTGACATCAAGTTAGCCACATCGCCACCCGATTGAATCCATACATAGTTGCGCACACGTTCAAGTCTAATCATCGCCATGGACGGCTGTTGCTGGTGCTGATGCTCAATGTGTTCCTTGTTGCTACGTTTGAGAACCACTTCCTCTTTGACTTCACTCAATAAACGCTGCAAATGAATAGGCAATGCATATACATCCTCTGTAATCTCTGCTTCAGCTAAATACTTGGCCATATCGGGTGTAGTGAACACGTTGAGGAGATAATTGTATTGGAATAATAGGCCTTCTACTGGAGGTCGTACCTCAAGGTATTCTTGTTGTTGGATGGTAGGGCATAGAAGTCCTTGCTCGTCATAACCGTGTCCACAATAACCACAAGACGTACTGTAAAGGTGGGGTTCAGCCATAGATAAGGACTTGCTTTCAGATGGGCAAGTGAATGCGATCGACTGTTGCTCGTGGTTCATTCCAAAGGCTGGTAAAAAACTGAAAAAAAGAAACGGGCAAAAACGGAGTGATACCTGGCTATTGGAGCCTGCCAATTCAAAGTCAGTGGGGGTCATTGTTCATCCTGCACTTGCGCCTAGTTGGGACATCCTTATGCCACATACAAACATCACCTTCAAGTAGCTGGTGGATTTATCAGTTGTTGATTTGCCATCACTTCGACTCGGTGCTCCAAGATGCTTGACCACTTTATCATTTCAATCAATCATGACAACAACTCCCACGCCCACTCACATATAAACAAGGCTGTTGTCGCCAACACTATCATACGCCCTTTCTTTCTACTTGTATGCGTACCATCATCAATGGCCTCTGGTAAGTCTCAAGGAGAGTCTTTTTGTGATTCCCAAAATGAGGGTACTCGTGCATCCACCTATGTAGCTCACATCATTGCTTTAACACTTGAAGTGCTTATTGGCGCCTTATGACATTTGGCTGTGTTCCTTGATGGAGCTTTGTGGTAGGTATAACTATATTAAAATGACGCCTTGTTGTCTGATAGGAATTTGGGATTTCTTCGTAGGTGGCAAAAGTACATGCCAATGGTCTCAGCTAGCGATTCGAGGTGGTAGTGGGGGAATTTAAGGCGCCCAAAGGACATTGCCAAGGAGAATCCGATACCATAAAGAGAGGCAAAGAGATGCAGGCGATGATAAATCGCCTTGTTACCATTGATGTGGAGGACCCGGTGGTTTGCGGATTTCTTGTGGCAAATGGATGCTTGACCACCTACAAGATGGGGTTGCGAGGCCCAAAGCTGTATGTGATGGCACGCTTGTCCAAGCTCAATTTGATACGCGCCTCGGATGATCTTGGCATGCTTCCTATACTGGTTTCAAGGATCGCACAAATACAGGTAATGCATAGTATGGCTGTGACGCTGAGAAATTTACACTCTTGTCTTTAGGCGTATGCACTTGAGACCGCTGCCAAGGTTCAGCAAGTTTGTGAATGGACCAGGAATAACCACTCTCTGAAACCATCGCATCTGCCCTCGAGTTACAACAATGGCTCGACACGACCTCATATTCGTTGAAGCTTGTTAACAGCAATACCATTTGGTGTATAGCTATCTATGTAAATAATTAGCGCACACATGACGCATACATAGAAGAGGTTCCTTTTCATAGTCTCTTGCACAATTACTGGTTTGATGGTTTGAGCTATAAGGCATAACAACGAGACGAATGAGGTGTAGGATAAAAATGTATATTGATCAAAGGTTGGAGTATAGCAACATGCGCTTTTACACGCTGCTGTACAGAAAATGTGATAATGGGCAGACTGATAGGTTGAGAGAGCGATTCACGCAGATGTTGGTTAACTACGAATGTGACGTAATTTCTTTTCCAAGACATCCGTTGTCACGTGCTGTGCTTTGTAGTCACCACGACGCTGATATTTTTTTCCGCTCAATAAGACCCACTCCCTTCTTATACCAGCAGCCTTAACGCACACTCTCATATACAACACACCCACCTATATATATTATATATACACTTAAACACCTACAAGTTATCCTCTCCTTCAACCCATACTACTCTAGTATCTTCTACACCCAACTACACTCTTCATTTCCTTTTCAGTTGCGTTCTACAACCATGTCTCTTGACGACGACGGCGCCATGCCAGAGATCCACAAGCTACGCAACAATATTGAGTTTGCCGCCACGTCGCAGTTCTTCCACACCTTCCAATCGGCATTCCGTCCTTGGCCTGCTCACTACAACCCTGCATCTCTTTTGGTTCAAGTCCATGCACTCACGCATCGCAACAAGAAACAATCCGATGACGATTATGTCTTTACTACAGAGGTTTGTACCACTCAAAGTGTGTTCCTGTCGGCTACACGCGACTAAACAAAAAGCTGCATAATCATGCTAACGTGTGTGCAACCTATCTAGGATTTGGAAAAGATGATCCTGGATCCAACAGAACGTTACCGTATCCAAGAGCTCATGGTACGCATGCTACGTCTCTTAACACGCAATCGCTTCATAAAGTATGTATCTATTCTTCTTGATCCGTGCGCAAAACACTAATTCATGTCGCTGTTTTTTGTATAGCAATGACACGTGGCAAATGTACTTTGCTCGGGAAATTGATAAACGCGGTGAACTAGAGGAGAATCCCTTTTACGAGCACGTAGAACAACAACCTGACGATGGTAGCCATGACAACAAGGATGTCGCTATGAAGGATGCTGTCAAAGAGGATCCCAAACAGGAGGATGACAAAAAGGATGATCCAGTACAAGATGAAGGCGTTAAGCAAGAGGATGGCATCAAGCAAGAGAATGGCACCAAAGAAGATGACGATCCAAAGCAAGCATCGGTTGAAGAACAAGAGCAGCAGCAGCAGCAGCAACCCGTCAAGGAGAGACGACCAATCAATTACTTTGACATGCCATTGGAACTACGTGTTCATCTTCTTCACACTTTGTGCGAGGTAAGTAGGGCTTTATTATCTTCATCGAATCATTGTATTCATGCCATGCATGTCTCGTGTAGTGGCAATTGGATGATGCTGAGCGTTTCAGGGAACATCTTGATAGCGAAGAAGATGCTGTGCATTGGGTAAGCAATGGCGATCTTTAAACATTTGGGAGATCAAAGACTTATTTTTTATTGTAGAGGGTGGATCCAATTGGTTATGATGCGAAAGGAAGCTTGTATTGGCTTTTCGATGGTACGATGGATACAAAATGGGATGTGCAGCATATGCTGATTATCGCTCTGTAGATAATCGATTATACAAGGAGATGCCTGAGCCAAAGAAGAAAAAGGCCAAACCAAAAAAGAAGCCTGTTCGCAAGGGTCGCGCTGGTGTGCGTAGAAGCTCACGTCGTGCTGCCCAGGCAACCGCACAAGAAGAGGAGGAGGCGGAGGAAGAGACTGAAAATTGGGTTCCATGGCAACTGGTATGTGTGTGAAAATGAGACAAGTTTGACATGTTTACTCACGTGCTATTACATGTTTATAGTTATGCGTCACCAGCCAAGAATGGGAAGCGTTTCCAAAGCGATTTGAAAACAGCCAGCATCCTGATGAACAGAATTTCTACAGCCTTCTTGTTGAAGATGTCCTACCCAAAGTACTTCCAGTCATCCAAGAGCATGAAGAAGCTTTGAAAAAGAAGGATGCCATGAAATATCGTAAACGGAGCTCGCGTCTTATTTCGCGTGAATTGGAAGCATTGGAACGTGATCATCAGCAACAGCAGCTTATTGTGACTGATACACGACGTTCGACTAGACGACAAGAAATCGCTCGCAAACGAGAGGAGGAGGAAAAAGTGACAGCTGCTCAAGCACGTGAAGAACGATTACGAGAACGTGAACGACGTATCCAACAACGTGAAAATGCTCAAGCTGAAGAGGAAAGACGACAAGCCATGGCTGAAAGTTTACGTGAGCAGGAAGCTAAGGAACGTGAGGAGAAGATGTTGCAACAACAAGCCAAACGTCAAAACAAGAGGAAACAGTCGCAATCAGCAGCACCCAAAAAGAGAGGACGTAAGCCAAAGAACAAGCATGCTGAGGAAGAAGATGTATGGCAATTTGATTGTGTCTGTGGCGTCTCAGGTGAAAACATTGATGATGGCACACCCTTGATTGCATGTGAGCGTTGTGGAAAATGGCAGCACATTCGATGTTTACAAAAGGACGGTCAATTGGAGGAAGGTCGAAAGAGTTTTGCCAGCTATTCGTTCTTTTGCAAGCCGTGTACAGCAAAAGGATCACAAGATGTGGATATTGATGGCGTGGATGACAATGAAACGACGCTTCCACCACCACATACACCAAGAAAATTGACCATTATCCAAAGTCAACCTCCACCACCTCCACCACCCTCTTCTCATTATCAGCAACCTCCTCGACAATATCATCAACCTCCCATCTCCATACCGCATCCACAGATGCCTCCAACAAACGGTCATCATCAGCATTATCAGCATCATCATAACAATAATCATCATCATCATCACCCATACGTACCATTGCAGCCATGGATACACCATCAACCACAGCAACCGCCACAGCAACAGCAACAACAGCAACCCCCCTTGGCAGCACGACATACAATGGGCCAACACGCATTTCCTTTGCTTAGCCCCATGGTACCAAACGATCCATCGAATGGCAACAATGGTCATATGCAATACAACATGTACCGCAATACATTACCACCATTGCTACCTCAACTTCCCGTTCCTGGTGTACCACCTGTAGCGCCTCGTCCTACTGCCAAATCTACACCTTCCACTACTACTACAACGACGCCGACTACCACCACCGCGACGAATGGATACATGCATTTCCAAGACACTGAACGTAAAGGCCAATGATTTAATCATATTGTAAATACACACTCTTATACAATCAAAATTTATCTTAAACGTTAGAAGAGTCTCTCCTCCCCTCCCTTCCCTTTCCTTCCCTCTTTTATCCACTAGTATTACAGCCAATCAATCATCTTGTAATTTTGACTCTATTGATTTGAATACAAAGTGGGGATTGCATATGTAGGAGCCTACCAGTGCTAAAACAATGCAACCTCATTACTATTTATCCCACGCTCTGTTACCATTCTCACATCATCCAGAAGGGGAAAAGATGGATTGACTACTAGGTGTTTATGTGTGTGTGTGTGTGTTGAATCTACAACTTATACAAAGCAAGATGCCTTGTTCTTTAATACAAGAGACGATGCAAGATACATAATAAAAAACGTTTGTGCGTGTATAAATGACAAAAGGGATGTGGTGCAATATGAATGGATTTAGTCGTGAAGACCAATAGCCTTTTCAGCCTTGGAAATGGGTTCATCCTCGGTCTCCTTCCACAATTGCTCAAGTTCAGCCGATCCAGTAGTAAATTCACCAGACCAGAACTTTGCAAATTCACCCGAGAGAATATCCTTGTGCAAAACCTTTTCGAATTGTGCTCGGAGAGCAGTGCCGTCATTGTTCTTGGTACCACGAAGCTGACCAAATTGGGAAGTGGGCGAGTGGAACTTGAGTTGACGGAAGAAACCAACATTGGCAGCACGTTCAAAGACTTCAGATGGCTCCTTGGAAAGATACATGTCATGAAGGATGGCTTCATCGGAGAAACCAGCTGCCTTGAGTACATTAAAGGCTTCACGGAAGCAACTACATATATCATCTCATGAGCTCACGTGTTCTCTCGTTCCCTTTCCCATGATCTCCTCTTTCATTAAAACTTACGAGTTGATAGCGGGCCAAAGAGCTTGTTCAGCAAAAAGATCAATACCAGCTTCTTCACGACATGATGATTCAACTGCACCACCCAAAGTAGCACCAATAGCACGTGCAATGGAAAGAACAGTAGGAAGAGCATTGCTTTGAGGATCACGTTCCACTGAAACAAAGCATGGGTAGGGTTCCTTGGCAACAAATCGATCACGGACACCAGGGCCAATCATACGAGGTGCAGCCATCACCACACTCATCTCGGCTGGAAGGTCTAAAAGATCAAAGGCGACAGCATAGCCCGAAGCAACCACCAAGGTTGCATTGGCAGGAACATTATCCTTGATTTGCTCCTTCCACACAGTGTGTTGGACCTCATCAGGGATCAACAAGAATACAACTTCGGCATCCTTGACAGCATCACTGATGCTCTTTGTCTCAAAACCAGCAGCAATAGCACGGGGCTTGTATTCCTGTATAGTGTTGTTAGAAGGCACCATCCATCACAAACCAAAAATACATGATCCTTACATCATCACGGTTGCCAATGGTGATATGCTTGACACCCGAATCACGCAAGTTTTGTGCTTGAGCAGATCCTAAAGGTGGTGATCATAATCAATGGGGGCTGCATAAACATGTAATTAAGTATCGCAATCGTACCTTGGTTACCATAACCAACAAAGGTCACACGCTTGTTTTGGATAATAGAAAGATCAGCGTCGGAATCGTGGTACACCTTGACAGCCATGGTAGTATAAAACAAAGAAAGAGAGAGAGCGAGAGAGAGAAAAAGTATAAAGAATCCAAGGTGGATTATCATGCATCTTTTATATCCATAGGATAGACTGTCATTGTATTGTATCTTCTTTTTTTTTCTCATGGGACAAGGAGCAAATTACCCCGAATCTTCCGAGTACTAGCCCTACACATGCAATCACACAATTATGCGGCAAGGTTCATTTACACTTTATCTCTTCTCCGATAATGCTCGAATGTGTGTGAATGAACAAAGACCAAGCGGTACTGAAACAATCTCTTTTTCCAGGCTCGACCCTCTTGGTGTGACATCAACCAAGGAATACCCCCCGAGCTCTCTTCCTAAAACCCGAATCTAGATTTCCATCATTCTTAAAGGAACATCTTTTGTATTTGGAGAGATGTAGTACATTCTATAGACGAGCATCATAATGATGTCGATCATGATTGAGGAATAAAAACCAACCCATAGCGTGACATGACTACGATCATAGGATATCAGAATCGATTCCCGCAATGACATCCACTAAAGCTTGGTGCTGAAAATGCTGACGTGATGGTTTGATTTGCATGTGATGATGCCTTGTATGTACGTGATTGCAGTCGCATCCCAAGATGTTGGATGATTACATAATCAACGCATTGTTCTTTTTATTGCCATGATCAAGATGTGGAGATGATATACAACATGTCACATGATTACTTTAAGCTGCAAGCTACATATCAAGAGTATAGAGATCGCCCAATTTTCAGGAACGACAATGATGGGTTGGTGGATGAAGATCCGCAGCAGGCAGGCAGGCAGGCAGGCAGGCGACGGAGCTTGCGTCATTTTTTGGTGTTGTGTTGGCAATAGAATCACTTTTGGAAATTTTGGTCTTTCTTCGTCTCTTCTTTACTGTCAACAAGGAATACAATGAGTGAAAGCGGACACAACGGTAAGATCCATTGTACAAAGCGAGAGAGAAAGAGGGTGTTTTTATTCCATTGATCCAAGGAAAGGTGTATTGATTGTGGTATCATAGGAGATCATCGCTATCCAGATGAACGTGGACGTAGCCCTCGTAGCCGTTCTCGTTCTCGTTCACCCATTCGTGGCCATGAGAGCCGATATCGCAGCCGCTCACGTTCGCGAGAACCACCGTATGTATTCATCTGGTGCAGATGACACTGAATCAGCCTTTTTAACGACACTACTTTTGCGTGCAACAGACGAGAGGAAGTGGACTTGAACCCTGGCGATAACCTCTTCATTACCGGCTTGTCCTTGAGAACCAATAGTGCTGATTTGGAAGATTTGTTCAGCAAATACGGCAAGGTAAGACTCACTTGGACGTGATTGACCCCATACTAAAGATGTATTTTTTCTACTTTAGATCCAAAAAGCTGAAGTCATGTACGATCCTCATACTCGTGAATCCCGTGGATTTGGTTTCATCCGTATGGCATCTACCGAAGAAGCTGATAGAGCTATCACTGCTGTCAACGGCACTGATGTGGATGGTCGTATTGTTACTGTTGAAAAGGTAAAGAGAGAGGAATTGGAAAGCATGGGGGGTGGTGTCAATGATACTAATGAACATGTGTTTGTTGTAGGCAAAGCGATCGCGTCCTCGTACCCCTACACCTGGTCGTTATTATGGTCCTCCCAAACGTGGACGTAAGTATCTTATCTTGTTCTTTGGGATGGGGGGATGTGCTTTTGTACAAGTGGAGGTGGGGGGTTATTACCGCGCCCAGTCCCGTGCAAGATTGTGCAAATAATGCGACAACTATGTTTGCTCATGGTCGTCAATTCTTTTATGCCCTTTCTCGCTGGTTCAGCGCGGTACGACCGTTTTGGTCCTCGTTCTGATTACCGCTATTATGATTCTCGTTATGAAGCTAGACCGCCTCGTGGAGGAGACCCAAGATATGACCGCTACTATGATCGCTACATGGATCGTTACGATGCACCACGCTATGACAGAGGCTACGAGAGAGATCGCTATGACCGCTACGACCGCTACGATAGGTATGGCTACGAACGAGGCGGCTATGATCGCTATGATCGCTATGATCGTCGTCCACCTCCACCAAGATACGATCCCTACCCGCCGCGCCCTAGATCACCCTACTAGCTCAGTTGATTATCTCGACAAGTGTTCAACACACACAGTGATTGTTCTTTCTTTCTCTGTTTTCTCTTTTTCCTTTTGTCTTGGCAGCTTGGCAAAAAAAACATTCACACAATCACCCACACACACACACTCAAACAGCTTACATCAGTATATCGATTCACATCAGACACACACACACACTCAAAAAATGAAGAATTGCAGCAGACAAAACACACCGTCTTTCAACATGGCAGCTTTTTCAATGATTTCTTTATCCAATTGTATACAATTTGCAGCATTAACAGCAGCTATTATGCAACGCAGCGACTTTTTTTTCGTCATCTTTTCTTTGAGATCAGCTATTCGTTATACCTTAACATACCTAATGCAGCGTCGCCTTGGCAACATTACACAAAATCACGTACATGTCTATTTCAGTCTCTCCCCTGTATCCAGGTAAAAAAACAGGTACATGGCTCGTAACAGGTAGGGATCTAGGGACAAGTTTTTTTTTACAAGAACAAGATAGATATGTAAATGTAATGAAATGTATTTGCACAAGAAAAGAAAACAACGTTAAAACAAACAATAAGGATGAGTTTCTATATATATATGAGAGTGAGAGAGCGAGCGAGAGAGAGAGCATACAAAAGAAAATAGAGACAAGCAAATGTTGGTGGATGATGATGGAAACAGGTCTCGTGGTGGTATGGCGGAATTTAGGATGGCAATGTGATTGTGTTGCGTATGTGTGAGTGGGAGTGTGAGAAGGAGTTGGTGGTAGGTTTGATAAGGGACGAGAGCAAGCTCCTCAATATCCCCCCTTGATATTTAACATGGACAAAAGTCGGTGGAATGAGGACCAGCACAGTTGCCACATCGGTTCTTGTCATCCTTTCTTGGTGAGTTGTTGCTATCAAAGTTTCCCGAAAAGATAGAAAAGTGAAGCGTAGGGCTCAAGTTGGGACGAGGGAATGCGCTGAGGATGGATTGTTCTGTGATGGTTGGACCATGAGACGACGACGAGGAGGATTCACTCGACGTGCTACCAGGGCTGCTTGCGCCTTCATAATACCTTGCTTGTGCTCGTGCAGAAGTAGAAAAGGCAGTGGCCTGGTTGATTTGTGGCTTCTGTTGTTGTTGTTGATTGGGATGTATCCGCGTAGACAACTTGCATGACAAAGGATTGCTTTGTTGACGACTACGAGCGCTGAATGCTGAGAGACTTCTACCGGTTGCAAGAATCACCATTGTTGTTGTTTAATGTGTGTGTATCAAGAGAAAGAAAGGAATGGATGATATAGATCAACAAGTAGAAGAAGAAGAGTAGATTGTGTATGTATCAATAGAGAAGAGAGAAGAAGATGGGATCAAGTTCACCCATAATATAAATATGGAATTTTCGGGATAATTCAAGCCTTCGGGCCAAGTTTGACTCATCGGGTGCAAATGGAACCCCGGCCTCCACTTTTTCCCTCCCAGTCGCACAATGAGGTCTATAGACCTACACTGCCAAGGTATACAAAATGCAAACGTGCGCCTCTCACACGTCATCTTCCTTGCTCAGCATTGGCTTTCGGCGCCTCTCCCGCTCCGGCAAGTTACGGGAATCATGCACTCTCCCATCCTTATTTTCTTTTCACTTGGTCGGTGCGTTCCACCCTTAACTCATAACTTGTCACCACTCTTTATACATTTCCCCGCACTCATGGCATCATCCATCACTTTCGATAATCCCTTTCCCATTTTTGTATCACTCTAAAAAGACGAGGCTCATACAGGGATACGCCACCACGTGAATCATGCTTTAATATGGGCCATATACTTGTTTTAAATTCCCCTTTGTTCACCATATTTGGATACAGAATCATTCTTCTTCCGCCGAAAGAGCCCGCAGTTGACATGTGTATTTCTTTTTCCTACACTCGGTACATGAAATCAAGTGCCTCGTCACCGACCAATGTGCCTTCTTGGTTTGGCTCATTTTGCTTGATCTTGATAGTCTTGATCTGATTCACGCGTAATAGCAACCACCTTTGGATCAATGCAAGTACAATAAATACACAAAGGAACACAAGGCTGATTGTGTGGCCAAACACTACCCATTCCATTACATCATAAGTCCTCTTGTGTTGTAAGCCTCCTCCTTTTCCTTTCTTTTGGTTCACACTTACGATAGCGTGGCGCATCCGATTGTCGATAAATATTCGATCCAAGTAGACCTAAAGGCTCGATTAGTTGTTGTCACGTCCCTGAAACCATGAATCCAATATAAATATTTACCAGCCGAATTGTTTGCAGATACCGCCATAGCAGCAGCCACGCTTCGTTTCATCTCAGGTGCAATGTTGCTTGTCAACCATGCATTCATAATAGGGTTGATGGTATGGACGCCTGCAACGACAATGCATATACCGGCATATAAAGCAGAGCGTGCTGTCAACGTGGTCAATATCACATAGCCGATGAGACAAAAGGTTGCGCCGGCGATAGCATGGTACGTGCGTTCCTGAAACTTGTCGGACGAATAAGCCATACCGATCATCTGTCAAAGATTTTTTTGTTCAGTCGCACGTGCGTACGTATACCTTTGTTTCACACATACCACTATCACCGCACCAAGATAAGGAGGCGCTATTATTATATCAAATTCAATGAGCATACATAAAGCAATTGTATAAAGTACAACTTACATGACATCAGGTTGGCTGATAGCTTGTCATTGTATCCCATGCCCTTGACAATGAGCGGCAAAAAGCTGTACAAAGCATGTGTTTCTGTCAGAAACAACCACCATGTTACGGATAAACGAATACTTGCTTCGAGATGCTGGTGTTGGCCACGCTGCCGCTGAAAAACATAACCATCCATAGCCACACTTTCCAATCGACCAGTGCCTTGATAGCTTGTTCCCGATTGCTTGCATCATCAAGATCACGCAAGCTGACGTGATGGTGGTGTTGTCCTCCATCTTCGATTGCCAACCGGGATACGGCGAGTCGTTGTTCCTCCAATGTCAGCCTTGACCATGTTTCAGGTGATGAAGGAAGGTAAAACCATGCAATGATAGCAACCAATACTGTGGGGATGCCTTCAATCAAAAACAACCACTAATGAATGATACGTTGATGATGAGTGCGTGGTATGTACGTACAAGGATCATGTTACCAAGTTCCTACTAACCTGCCATCCAGCCATGCTTTGTGCACCACGTAATCTCAAAATCCCATAAGCGAGAATACCAGCTGCATGATTTTTCATAAGAGTGTGATTGGATAATGCAAGCTTTCATCTTACCATAAGCATGTGCAGCTACCGTGGATCCCCAAAACAAGGCAATGCGTGTTGCTATTTCATTCTTCTTGTAAAAGAGGGTAAGGAAAAAGATCACTCCCTAAGTATGCATAATAATAATGAGCTCCTATCTCCCATGTCATGGTGGTGATGTTCATTGTTAAACGTACCGGGAAGAAACCACTTTCAAATACACCAAGAAGGAATCGTAGTATAACGAGGCTTGCAAATCCATTGATAGTAGCATGCAAGCAAGCCATCGTACCCCATGCAATCATCAATAGAGGTAACCTATAATAATAGGATACATGCTTCAACATCATACAGGGATTCCTTCTCCATTTTTCCTTTTCCATACCAACGACGAGCAGTAAACTTCTTCAGCATAATGTTGCTTGGTATTTGAAACAGCAAGAAGCCCACCTTTGTAATAAGGGATGAGTGCCTCATTGATAGATTCCAGTTTCAGATGCACTTACATAGAAGATAGTGATGGATGTATTGAATTGATCAGGTGTGATACCCACGTCCTCCTCAAAGTTGTCCAGCACCGCATTCCCTATCATATTGTTGTTGGTACACTATACGCATCAATGCTCATCACCTCCTTACCCAAACTAGAACGATCCAAGGATGAAAATAGATACATCAAGCTCAAGAAGGGTAATAGCATCAAGTCGTATTTGCGTACGAGCCGTTTCTCAAGCTGGGCATCATATTCACCGGTTGCCAGGGTAACAGGATCCTCTTCCTCCTCAACCTCGTTGCTGTTCTCTTGTGAATGACCTACTCGGAATGGAGCATGAGAAGAGACTTTCATGTCGAATGAAGAGCGATTTACCTTCAAGAAGGGGAGTGCGATCGGATAAGGACATGAACAAGGTTGTTGGAAAAAGGACAATTATGCAGGTAGAGTGTCCAATGAAATGCAAAGGCTTGATTGTTTAGCTGAGTCTCGTGATTGTACACCATCCCGCGTTGTTGTAGTACTACGCGCACACACGCGCCTCCTCCCTTTTCCACCCATCTGATGGATGACATTGCAGACAAGTTAGGTTGCTTATCCAAGCTTGAACAAGGTTCGACTTTTTTCCATACCAACACTCCCTCCCTCATTCTCATACAAGGGTCTCTTGATAGCTGGTCTTGATTCGGCTTACGATGTCGTTGCACGATCCACCACCGACTTGCATTCAGTTCTACGCAACGCCAACCATGTCAATGCGATCGTCGATGCTGCTTCCAAAGAAGTGTATCCTTGGCGATCACGGATAAGGACAGCCGAGTCACTTCCCACCGAGAGTGTGAGCACCGGAGACGCAACCATTGATCGTATCTTGGGTGGATGTGGAATACCACTTGGTTCATTAACAGAGATAGTGGGTGAAAGTGCATCAGGCAAAACCCAGCTTGCATTACAATTATGTCTCGCCGTACAAGATCCTAATCAATTACATGGTGGTAAGTAGTATCCTCCTTGCCATGTCATTGCACTATGACTTACATCACATGATAGAGGCCGTGTATCTTCATAGCGAAGGCCGATTCCCAAGTACACGTCTCGATCAATTGGCATCCTCTTTTGCACAACGCTACGACATTTTGCCTGAACAACTTGAAAAAGCCATCCATACCATGCGACTCACGGATCGTGAAAACCAATATCAAGCGCTCGTCTATCAACTCCCGGCTTTATTAGCACGTCGAAGGAACAAGGTGCGTGTGGTGGTGATCGACTCTATCAGTGCTATCTATCGTGGAGAGCAAGAAAAGAATCAATTCGAGAGAATGGCCGAAGTGTGCGATCTTGGATTACGTCTCAAGCGTATCGCTAGTCAATATCAAGTCGCCATCGTTGCTATCAACCAAGTATCAGACGTATTCACTCAAAACAAGGATAAATCATCAGCATTACCACCTGAGCTTGTGGATCAGTGGATTGACTTTCGGCTTGAATCAGCATCCTCTTTATCGCCAGCAGTACCACTCGCCATGTTTTGGCAATCCCTCACTAAAAAGCCTGTACTCGGCATGTCTTGGTCCAATGCAGTATCCACTCGAATACGACTCGCAAGATCCGCCATTTCAAGTAATGGGTCAACACGACGCGCGCTGTTTATTGAGTTCTCACCGATAGCACCACGATCAGGGTGTGAGATTATCATTGATATGGATGGCGTCAAGGCAAAGGAGTGGCAATGAATAGAATGCGTTGTTGATGTATATACCATTGTTTTTCTCATATAAAGTTGTTGATTGGGATACAAATGAAAATGTGCTATAAATGTTGACATGGATACAAAAGATTGTTGCTGCTAATGACGACGCCGACGAGCAACGTAGTATGGATGATGTCTTGTGCCGTATATTTGTTTGGATATCGTATGATCGTTCGATTGCTCCTTTTTCTTTTTTGGCAGTGTCAAGGAAGCCTTTCCATACTTAAACTTACAGTTTAAGCTTTTAAACACTCGTCTTATCCTGTTGTTGCATGATTAGATTAGACTAAAAGTTGCTCAACACCATTCCTTACTTTGTCGTCGAACAATCCAGGTCCGTGGACAGTGTTTTGACGCACACGGTATTGGAGGTTGATAGGCACAAGACCGCTATGTCACATAGCAACTTGTCTCGCATCATTGAATAGGAATTGCTGTACGTAGTAAAAGGGGGATATCAATTAAAGTTAGCTTTGATGAGAGTGGCACGTGAATGTACATGGTACTTGCATGGCTGGATTATCTGTGTATCTTTCTTTTAGGTTCGTGATCATCAAACTTGTCGCATACTTGATAGCACGATGCATTCGGTGATCCCGCGCTGCTTTCAGGTTCTGTATTTTAACAAACAACGCCATCAAATACAAAGCGTATACGAGTATTTTACAACAATGCTGGTCGTTCTTTTCGTATGCTTTTCGAAATTTATCGGTGACGAAGGTGGATTCATCGTATGGAACCACGCTCTTCTTGAGTTGGCCATTGCTATCCACAAATTTGTCGAGTAGTAGTGTCTCTAAAACCGTATGCGATACGATGCTGTGGACGTCATACATGTCTTTTGTCGTTGTTGCATCGGCGTTCATTTTGGGGACAACGCTGGATGGTAACAGTGATCCAGCAACGGCATCGTCATCATGATTATTGTCAAGGACGATATCGCTAGCGAAGCTCGTGTCATGAATCGTTAGCAGCTCCGTGGTCTCAGTATTCCTTTTCACTTTTTTGCTGCCAAAAGTCTTTCGAACGTCCATGATTTTGAGATGAGTTGGGTTACAACCGCCAATATGTGTGCAATGATCGGTAGGCGTGGTATCACTCATTTTGAAAGAAGAGATGTAATAAGGAGAAGTTTACTATCAGCAGTAATTGATATAAGCCATGGCTGCATACGAATTTGACAACCATGATACTTGTGTTGCAGCCACCACACAAGCTGTCAAGAATGTTGGAGTGAGCAATCATGCAAGCTGTACTACTGTCACATGGTGCACCCTACCCCATCAAAGTCATCCTCCTATAGATGACACGAGGCTCAAATAGTCACTCATGCTACTCTATGGTGTTGTAGTAGGCAATCATTGTTATATGCGTTCTTGTATTGGATGATGCCATCAGCCATCAAGTACATACCATCATATCAACGGTCGAGCTGTGATGCAAATTGACCAAGAAACGGATTGACTAACAGCTGAATGGAGAAGGAAGCATATCAGCAGCAATCACAAGGGTTCTTTCTATCGACATAGTGGATGTGCAATGGTTTGGATGGATGGATGCAGCCATGCGCAGTGATAAGAATCCTGGGATGCTGCTTTGGTTCTTTGTCACGTTGCCAACAGGGAGGATGGATCATACACGAGGATATCGCTAAGGACGGTGAAGGATTGGATGACATTGGTATCGTTGACGAAACGGGTTTACCTTCATGGATGATATACGATATTGAATAACTGTGTGAAGGGACACAACAGCTGTTTTCAGACCCTCGATGATGATTATTGACGGGCACCAACCAAGGATACAAGGACACAATGATACCCTTTCGTTGTATATGATTCACCCATACCCCACGTTCCCTTATCACCATCAATAAATGCATGCGCACTTGTACACTGTATATAACTCAGGTGGCCGATACACAAACTACAATCACAAAGGTGTTTCTAAGGTCAATGGCAACAACAGCAACACGCACATTTCGAACACGACACGGTTTCCATAGCAACACATTACACTCTTTTTATTGCTCCAATCAAACGTCTAGATCTTGAGACTTTTTTTTATCTTCTCTTACACCTCGTGTCAGGACCCGACTTTGAGACTCGATCAACCACCCAATCGTCCAACGACACAATTACCACAGACACTCTTATTATGTATCACGCAATTTATACACATAGGAAAGTAGACAAGTTATTATAAAGACAATCTCTTTTTTTTTATTGTGAATAAAGCTAAACTAGCATGTGGCTGTTGGTTTCGTCGAGTTCAAAGACCCAAGTACTTACAGGAATGACCTCGAGAAGGTCGCCACATGTCCATTCCCGCCTCTCCGCAAGGGGCACCTTCAACATGCGTCAAACGAGGTGTTGGCCGAGAGCCCAAAAAGGCCCAGGACCCAGTCGGAGTTTCCCTCTTAGCTTTACTAGCGTTTATAAGAGTTCGGTACCAATATATCCACAATAGGGGACAGTGAGCCTACGAGGACAAAGAGAAAAAGAAAGGGCTGCGGATACTCGCGGCCATTTTATTGTCTTTCAAGCGGCGTTTAAACCTGCTCGGTAAAAGTAAGTCCAAGGTCATGTGAGGTCTACCACAGCGTCATGGCGTTATGTCTAGTCGTTGCTATGGAAATTAAGCTATTGCTGAATCATCACCTTTCTTTTAACAAATTATCATAAACATCACGCCCGTCGTCGTTTGTAGATCCATGCATTACAGGTTTACAGGCTGGTTTGATTGCAGTTCATAAACTGCCACCTAATAGCCCGTTCTTCTTGTTCGCCACTGTTACCCTAATTCACTGCAAGTGATCATTTCCATCATTCAAGTTTCTTTATCCGAGAGGTTTTAATTTCCAGGTCTTCCACCCCGAGCCTCGTGTCTCTTCCTCCCATTCTCAGCTGTTGTCCCATTCAAGTACAACTACCACCTGCAAACGATTTTCCTGCTTCAACTCATCATGTTAACCCTACAATTGCCTTGATCCAAGTGTCTTTGACTGAATGGGCAAGTCCATGGTGTGTACGCAGCCTTCTTGTCACTCTTCTACAACACACGAGTCTCTTCACACAACACACGCTCTTGCACACGTCTTTGCCGCAACCAACGTACCAGCAGTTGCTATTAGCAAGGTCTTTACTCCATTGTCTCAAGTTACTTGCAGCAACATGCTTTAGTATCTATACGGAATCCAATGCATGATGCCATACCAGCTATCAAGTACACCACAATACAACAAGCTTCACCGACATGAGCCGCGTTGGAAAATGACCAAGGAAGAGATGGACCAACAGCCGGATGGAAAAAGGAAGCGATCACATGGTTCTTTCAACCAACATTTGGGTTTGCAATGGCTATGGATGGGTGGATGGATGCAATCCAGTGCAATGGGATGTTGCTTTGGTTACTTGGCGCGTCGTCAGCAGGAACGATGGATCATATTACGTGGATACCGCTGAGGATGATGATGAATTGGATGGAATCAACGAGAAGGTCTCTTTTGAAGGAAGGTGCTTTACAGCCACGGATGGTATTGAAGTACTCGGCTCAATGCATGCAGCAGCTATTTTGCGATCATGGATGAAGGATGATTATGGCAGCAGCAACCAAGAATACAATGACACAACTATCCCTGTTGCCCCACTATTTGATTCACCACCCTGTATCTTATTCATTTTACAATGCTGTTCCTTCATCATATTTGCTTGATAAACATCCACACTACTGTACCATGTGCTATTCGTCGACTTTTTCATTGAATGAATATGGATTCAAGGATGATTTGAAGGGTGAGGGTGTGGTGCTATCAGCTTATTATGTGCGAGACGTGGATCAATCACTTGGATTGAAAGGAGGAATAGAAACGAAAAGGTGGGAAAGCGAGATTGGGTCATTTACACCATCGTATGTATCGAGATGCCTTTGCCTTCTTGTGGCATTATACATTCGTTAAGATAACGACTACGAGATCCACGCCGATGACGATAACGACAACGGCACAAACAAGCATGGTTTTTGACCTTGGTGACGAGGAGATTGACGAATGTTGGCGAGTACGAGTATGAATGATGACGGACGACGAAGACGAGAATGGTGGAAAAGTAGCTAGGAAGCTAGATGAAATAAAGCATTGTTTCTTTATTACACACTTGGACTTTGCTAGCTTGTGGATTACATACTATTGCTTCGAAGATGGAACACATAATAATAAAGGTGGTTCGGTTATCGGTCATTCAAGAAGCATACGCCTTTTGTAAAGAGGAGTGGGATGACCTTGAGAAGAAAAAAAGAGAAGTGATCCCTTCATTGAGTTTCAGGATGAGTGACTCATTCAATATGTATATGTATCTTTTTACATATACAAATTGGTTTATGCAGCTCGACTTTCTTCTACATGAAAATGTGATGCATACCTTGACACACCTTCATTATTGGATGCTGTTTACTTACGTACCTTCACAAAAGGCAATCATCATCATCATCATCCATTTGTGTAGCAACCTGTCAAGGACGTGTCTGTGTAACCACCACGTGCCGTTTCACTCAGCTCTTCATCTTTCCGTTAATGCAGCCGACACCATCCACTAGGAAAAAGCAACTCCATCACGCTTACAGCATTGGTAAAACATAAAGACGCCTGTATCTCCAAACTTTACAATGAACCGTGGGGTTTTTATTAGAGCAATGGGCTCGGCTTGGCCAACAGCACCTTGTGTGAAAGTTTCACGTTCAATGTCGCAACTAGCCCAAAAAATATTTTTTTGTCGTCGCCGTCGTCGAAGAGGTCGACCACCAGATCCAGTTTGGCTGGTGGCGACATTGCGAAATCTGGGATTGGCAAGCTTGATCGTGAAACTGGCACCCAAGGTGCTGTTGGCCAAGCCGAGCACATTGCGCTAATAAAAACCCCACGTTTGATTGTAAAGTTCGGAGATACAGGCACCTTTATGTTTGTAAGCGTGATGCTATATGGAAGGTGGTCTTTGTTTAATGTAAAGTAGTATGGCTATAATAGAGCAAAAGATGCAGAAGGACCTCTTTGGGTAACTCAGCTAAAAAGTCAGGACTTCAGGGACCATGCATGACAGGTACGCAACCCTCACTTTTATGTCATACATTGGCAGCTAATAGCCACTTTTGTGCATTCCCAACTTTTGTGCATTCTATTGTAGGTGGACGATACTCCTGCTCTAGACATTCATTTCCATGATTAAAGTAGGTTGATCCGAGCTGATTTGGTTGAGTTACGCTCACACAAGATTACATCGGTTGAGCTACATCGAGCGTGCTTTATGTCCAGAGTGATGTAATCTCTCTTTGACCGCAGCTCAGTCAAATCAGCTCGGATCAACCTACTTTAATCATGGAAATGAATGTCTGGAGCAGGGGCATCGTTCCCATGCAGTGGATCTCGCAACAATGATGATTGGATAAAAGTGGCCGTTAGCTAGCAATACATGCCTGTTCCTAGATGATCCATAAAGTAATTATACATCGAACCTTTCATTCATGCAAACGTAGCTGTGTTACACAACACAATCCTCTGCATCTTTTGCTCTGCCAGGGTCCAGCTACTTGACAATGAACAAAGACCACTTGTCATATAGCATCACGCTTACAAACATAAAGGTGCCTGTATCTCCAAACTTTACAATGAAACGTGGGGCTTTGAATAGAGCAATGTGCTCGGCTTGGCCAACGGCACCTTGTGTGAAAGTTTCGCGTTCAATGTCGCAAACAGCCCAAAAAATATTTTTTGGGTCGTCGTCGTCGAAGAGGTCGACCCCCAGATCCAGTTGGCTGGTAGCGACATTGCGAAATCTGGGATTGGCAAGCTTGATCGTGAAACTGGCACCCAAGGTGGAGTTGGCCAAGCCGAGCACATTGCTCTAATAAAAACCCCACGTTTCATTGTAAAGTTTGGAGATACAGGCACCTTTATGTTTTTACTATGTTGTAAGCGTGATGCTATATGAGAAGTGGTCTTTGTTTAAATGTAAAGTATCTAAATCCTGGAGAGCCAAAGATGCAGAAGGACCTCTTTGTGTAACAGAGCGAAGAAATATCAGGATCAGCTCGTATGTAGTATGCACTACCTATGTATGTCAACTGATGTTCTTTTTCTTTGAGCTGGATCAACCAGATCCACTCTGATCAAGACAATTGAATCATGGAAAGTGGCTATCAGCTGCCAATTTATGAGCTGTTGATGGATATTGGAAGAGCCTTGAGCTTGAGGACACGTCAACCATGACGGTAGTTCAAACATTAACAAGATTGATTTTATTTGCATGCCGCGCCTTCCTCCTCTTCTTTTTGTCTTCCAACTGCTTCCCTTCTATTTTTATATGCGTTTCATTTCGCTCCATCTCTCTTTTCTCTTTAGTCTGATTGGATTGTCTTAGCCGGTGCCGTCCCCGCCAAGTCATCCTTTCATTTCACCCCATCTCTTTTTTCTCTTTCGTCTGATTGGATTGTCTTAGCTGGTGCCGTCCCCGCCAAGTCATCCTTTCATTTCACTCTTCTTGTTCTCTCGTCTGATTGGATTGTCTTAGCCGGTACCGTTCCCGCCAAGTCGTCCTCTCATTTCACTCTTCTTTCTTGTTTTTGCATATTTATCGAACGATCCTTCACCTTCCGTAGTCGTGTATGACGTATCAGGTATGTTAATGGATCCACACATGCTTCTAATGCCCTTTCTTCTTGATGGCATGGGCTAGCTCAAATGTCAGAGACCGCTCAGAGGGTTATGGAGCTCGTAATTGAAGGTATAAAGTTAAACCAGAGAGGTTTGTTCGCATGATACTGATCATTGCTCTTTAGATACCCTGTATACGAATCCAAGACATGGTCCACATATTGATCGCTCAACGATTTCCGCCATACACCATCACCCTGATAAAGATTGTAGAACCCACAACTCATCTCTATCACTCCTTGTATGAATTATATGGATTAAAGGAAACTTGGGTCAGATTATGGTATACATTGGGGTGGCAAATGACATGTAATATGATAAAATTGTGATACAAGATGCGATACGAAATTGGATATGTAAATAGGGGTAAAATGCTGATATGTACAAGGTGGTGTTGTTATCGATGTTTCTTTGACGGCGTAGTTGATGATGATGATGATGATGACGGCGTGGTGGATGACGAGCGTGTGGGTATGAAACATGGAGGAAGCATGGTCGAGCGTTTACCAGTTGCTATAGTCAAAGGCATGGGAGCCTGACGATATTGCTTGATAGTGGTATCCATGATTGCTTGTCCATGAGCAGCAAGTTGAAGAAGTGGCACTATACGTTGGACATAGTCCTCTGATACCGTTGGGTATTGCAACTCCTTTATACGTCGTAGTCGGGTTATGTAGCCTTTGGGTACATCCATATCAAGCATGCTGATCATGTTCCCTAGTAACCTAGTAAGATGCTGATCGCATACCACGTGTCTCTGCTACAATCCTACGTACCGTTGATATGGTATCCAACTATGTGGGCTTTCCGAAGCATTGATGGCATCTTGTCAACAACTTGCAACAACATGTCCCGCATGACGACTGGCATCTTCACTCTCGAGTCTTCCTTCTCCTTGGTGTCATCCACTGTACCCTTGATCTCCAAACAACCCAGCTCAATGTCGCTTGCTACATACACGGTATCCATTTTCCTTCCCATCTTCTTGTTATCGATCCCTTCAACAGCCGAAAGCTTTCGCTTGGCATTGCGGGCGGTGGCGTTGGCGTTGCTGGATTTCTCCTTGCTTCATTTTTAGACAATGATTAGTATTTGATTTTGATCCAAGAATGATAATAGTAATAAAAACTCACCCTTTTGCTTGGATACTGGTGCCTTGGTGGATGCTGTTCACAAAGCTCCACAGATAGTAAAGCTTGTCGCTTTCAAGAAAGGTATCCATATATGACGTAGATTGGTTCAAGAAAAACCTAGCAGTGGTCATCACCGACAGCTGCAGCCATGTCAAGATTGGGTCTTCAATTGGATGACAACGCATTTGCTGGGCAAAGAAAAATGCATCCAAAGCCGATGTCTATGTTTCCTTGATTAGATACAAAAAACCAATGCTCGCAACCATTATACAATACCTTCTCTTGTAGCTCTGCCAATGCATCATTAAGACCAGCTGGAAGCTCCCGCAGCACTGGATCACCAAAATCACACATTTCATCCAGCTCCTCCTCGGTAAAAACTTCTGCCCAATTCAAATCATCAAGATCGATAATCATTGAGTGACAAAGGCTACGTAACATTGTATTCAGCTTTTGGTTTCTTTTTGTTCCATGGCATCAGACTTACTGGGCATAATTGCAATCCAATGCAAACCGCCGCAACTTATCCTCGACAGCTTCAGGAACTTGATTTTCGGCAGCTGCACGACGCTTGGTGCTTTCAAGGATCCAAAACTTGGACCTATCTAGGTTGTCGAACATGTCTCGTATAGCGCTTTTGTCTTTTTCAGATAACAGGGTCTTGAGGCTGTTGTTGGAAGATGAAGAAGATCCGGATGATGTAGTTGATGATAAGATATCGCTGGGGTCCTTCTCTGCATCCTTGGTTTGTAAACCCTCTTCGATTCGGCTCCATGAAATGGATGATCCTTCAACCTTAATAGATAGGATAATGGTATTAGCGATCCCAAGCAGGTGATGAGTATTAACCAACCCACTCACCAGTTGCACATCCAAATTCGCAGCCGAAGCTTTGATACGTTTCATCCAAGTACCCTTCACAGTACGCAGGTTCACGGTTCGATCGTAGGAGCTGATAATGACCTCTTGTAGTTCATTGAGCACCGTTTGAAGATGAACGACACCACCATACTTTTTCTTAAGATCCAGAAGCACAGGGTATACTACTATGGTATTTATCAATCCCCATTCAAACACGAGGTTTCCTTCAGTACCTTCTTTCTCGTGCGGATCGTTGGTTGCCATGGCAAAGGAAGAAGCGCGTAGTATAGCAACGTGCATTATGAAGCGGGACCACTTTTGAACAACCATGTGTAACAGTGACGCGCAGTGCAATGCAAATACCTGACGCGATCCATGTTATGGGGTTTGCTATTTGCACCATGTCTCTTGCACCATCCTTTATTCGAAGCACAATTGCGCAATGCCATGGGGTTGGCTGCTGATATCAAAGGCGATCCGATCATCCTCGCTGCTTACCGAACACGCATACCAATATTAAAAGTAGGTTGACAACATCATGGGCTGGTGTATGCGCCCTCATCACTTTATCAGCTCATGGATCAGTTTATCAATGCATCATCCCCAACAGACAACAATGCCCACGCCCAATGCACAATAAAAGGATGTTGTCGCCGCCCATCATACTCCCACACGCCTCTTTCCTCTATCGTACTTCTTTGATTGCTTACAAGGCTAGATTTCCAAGGTTTGTACTTATCCCATTTCGTGCAAACTTTGTGAACAAGCGCTGATCTTGTGGTCATTCATAAGGTTTCTTTGTTATCCTTCCCCCATTGTTGTTGACGTCGTCCTCATTGTGATACATTGGATCCTTGTAAAAATGTAAAGCCTAATCATGTCGTTTGAAGAGTCACTACTCATACACGCTACCTTGTTACTTTCGATAGGTATAGCTATCTCCCATGATGCATCTTTTGGTTACGGTGCCATGGTCTACCTCCGTCGGGTGCTGAAGTTGACATGGTGCATTTGACATGGTGCAAATAGCAAAGTCAGATGAGGGGCTTGTTGGAAAGGGGCGTTCATATTTGACAGGCAGGTGTTGGAACGGGCCATCGCACATGCAGGCACACATTTTCGGGCTCGGCTATTTGCCCTCTTTACCTTCCCCTCACACTAATGGACATCGATCGACAAAATGACATTGGACTTTACTCGACGCTTGGTTGCCCATAATTTTTCGTTCAAGCAGGTGTTCATTGCCCACCATGCAATGTGGCCGCACAAGGGCCGGCGGCATTTATTGCAAACGATACGCATGGATCTTGAGGTTCTGCGTCACATGGAAGGAACATCGACAAAAGCTAACAAGCTTTTAAAAATTGGAAGCAGTATGCAGTAAATAGACCGTATATTGATGCATGTTGAAACAAAGTGTGATACTTCTTTGTCTCTATAGAAATCGACATACTGTACCCATTTCCCCAACATCCAGCTCTTCCAGTGGGACGTACTTATGTCATCTACAAAAATCCACCTTTAAGCAGCAAGCTGATTTATCAGTGTTTCCATCACTCCAAGATGCTTGACCCTCTTTATCAATTGAATCTATCATGACAACAATTCTCAAGCGCACTGCCATATAAACAAGGCTGTTTGCACCAACACTATCATACACCCTTTCCTTCTACTTGTATGCATACCATTATCCCGATACGTATGTAGCTCCTTTAGTCTTGATTAAAAGTATCATTATAGTATATGCAGATAATTGACATTCACCATACGACTCAACAAGATAGCTGTTTCTATTCTCCTATTTGAGGGGTTGGATCTACTATGTGTCTAGTGGGATGAATGGGGGATATGGATAGCAGTAATGGGAAGGAATGTCAAGTGACCAATCAACATAGAACTATGCTACTCAAAACCGTGTGCATTAAGTAACCTCCTGTCAAATGAGAATGGATTGCTGTCATCTTCAATGGAACAACAGTCCCGCTGCTGTCGCTGAGCCAAAAGAGCACTCCACTCACACACCACATCCACTCGTTTCTCCTTTCCCTTCCTCCTTCCACCACCACCACCACCACTCGACAACCAATAATGACAAAGGACAACAACGACCCACAAAAACAAGCTGAACTACAAGCCAAACTCTCTGCCATGATGCGTAGCCTCGCTATGATGGAAGGTAGCAGCGGTGGTCCCAAGCCAATGAACGAACATCGTTTCTGGAATACCCAACCAGTAACTAAGCACGGTACGTCATTCTTTATGCCAAAGCTTTCTCGTCATTGACACGGGTTGCATGCTTTTAAAGGCGAAGAGGTCTCCCAAATTGGTCCCATTGAGCCATCTGTTCCTGTCGATCAAGTACCCAAGGATCCTCCTACGCTTCCCAAAGAGTTCGAGTGGTGTGAAGTGGATGTTACTGACGAGGCCCAGGTATGATGATTATGCTGTAGCGTGTATGTATACAAGACGCTAAATACGAGTGATTTGAATCCCATAGCTTAAGGAACTCTACACGCTATTGACGCTTAACTATGTCGAGGATGATGATGCCCAGTTTCGATTCGATTATTCAGCCGCGTTTCTCAAGTGGTGAGTATTTGTGGATTGGAAGATATCGATTCGTTGATCTCACCTATCGACCTATCCTTTAGGGCATTACAACCACCTCAGTGGCGAAAGTCATGGCATGTTGGTGTACGTGTAGCTGCCAACAAGAAATTGGTTGCCTTTATCAGTGGTGTGCCTGCCGATATCCGTACCTATGATGTGTAAGTTTTGATTGGATGGATGGATCGAGTAAAAGAATGGGAGACACTAACATGGGGATTCCTTCGCTATATAGCACAACAAGCATGACCGAAATCAATTTCCTTTGTGTGCACAAGAAGCTTCGTTCCAAGCGTTTAGCTCCCGTGTTGATTCGAGAAATCACGCGTCGTAGCCATTTGGAGGGTATTTTCCAAGCAGCTTACACAGCCGGTGTTGTTCTTCCCAAGCCTGTTGCTACTTGCCGGTAAGTAATGATATCAAAGGATTAGGATGGGATGATTGATAGGTTAATGTGTACGTGTGATATAGCTACTTCCATCGTTCTCTCAACCCCAAGAAATTGGTCGAATGTAACTTTGCACGTATTCCTCCAAAGTGGACTCTTGCACGCATGATCAAGCATTACAAGGTCGCTGACCAACCTGGCATCTCTGGTATTCGTGAAATGGTTGAGGCTGATGTACCTCAAGTGCGTGAGCTACTCAACAAGTTCTTGAACCGATACGACGTGGCCCCTGTCTTCCAAACCGATGATGACGTTAAGCACTGGATCTTGCCCCACAAGGATGTTGTATGGACTTACGTTGTTGAGGTACGTAGGGGGCATTGGATAACGCTCGTTAAGAAAAATACTGATCCCTTTGTCATGATTAGAACCCTGAAACCAAAAAGATCACCGACATGTTCTCATTCTATTCCTTGCCAAGCTCTGTCATCAACAATCCCAAGCACAAGACGTTGAACGCTGCTTACATGTTTTATTATGCCGTCGATATACCTGAGGAAGTGAAGAGCAATGAGGAGGAAGAGCAAAAGTTCTTGAAGAAGCGATTGACTGAATTGGCCAAGGATGCCATGACGTATGCTCGAAAGGTAAAAGTAGTTGGAATAGGGTGACATATGACATGAAACTTATTATGTTGTATGTATATAGGCCGAGTTTGACGTATTCAATGCGCTCGATTTGATGGAGAACTCGCTGTTTGTTCAGGATCTCAAGTTTGGCCCTGGTGATGGTCTCCTCAACTTTTACTTGTACAATTGGCAAATACCTGATGTGTCCAAGAACAAGGTCGGTTTGGTCATGCTGTAATCTCTTTACATGCCCATATATACATACGCACACATACACACACACAATCACCTGCTCATAAATCCACCACCCATTGTACACATCTTGCTATCACACGTTTTCGTTTCATACCGGCCGACATCCACTTTCATCTGGTGCTGTAGAAATCATTGCAGAATCTCGGAAATAAAAGTACATCATTGGATATGTTACTTGTATTAAGGATGGTGTCCTCTCGTGGCAACTATGATATTGCAAGAGAATCCTATCATTCGTATCGATTTTAAATGATGCATTGGCACAATAAAGGAAGGAATTTGTCTCGAGAAATCGCAACGAGTAGAATAGTATGGTGATGTAGTAGAGATTCATCCCATAGCCTATCATTGAGAGATGTTAAGGCGTTCACCACGCGTTGACAAAGAGCCAACAAAAATGGATGGCTACGTGTGCTACCGTTAACCCAAGAACATTATCTTTTTCATTTTACACTCGTGCTATTGCTATGGCAACGAGCTACTAAGGATAAAGGACGACTACCTCATCAATGGGCTTTGAAGCTTGAGGTTTACCAATTAAGCTAATTGTGCATGAAAAGCCATAAGGCAATCAACCTCGTCGGTGATGTGACTGGCTGGAGGGAAGGTCCAAGAGTGAGTGCGCGTTATTCGCTGGGAACGAAGCTCCTCGTCTACACCGCTGCTGCCTATTCACTTTTTCTCTTTATCCACTTCACTCTCACTCTCTCCCATTTATCATGTTTTGCGCCAGTAAGACTTTAGCAACAATCCACTCAATACGATCGCTCACACGTAACACTACATTCTAGTCTCGGGAGAAGCACCTGAAGAGCCTGTTGTCTCTGTCAAATCAGGTCATCTGTTTGAAAAACGACTCATTGAAAAGTACATTGCGGATCACGGCAAGGATCCCATCACTGGTGACGAGCTTACAAACGATGATTTGGTGTCTGTCAAAGCCAGTAAGTGGATGGGGACCCATGGGTGTAGGATCGATATAGGCAATCTAACTTTTTGTTTCCTTGGTGATTCAGATCCTGAGACGGTGCGACCGCGACCACCCAAGTTGTCTTCTGTTCCTTCGCTGTTATCATCATTGCAGAACGAGTGGGATAGTGTCATGCTCGAATCCTTTACTTTGAAGCAACAATATCAGCAAGTAAGACAAGAGTTGTCCCATGCCTTGTACCAAAACGATGCAGCAACGCGTGTTATTGCTCGTCTCAAGAAGGAACGCGATTCTGCACGAGAGTATGTCGAAAAAGATACATGCGTGGGCATGATGACTTATGATTTTGTATAGGGCACTTGCCAACGTTCAAGCTCATCTGGGTACTACTGCCGCAGCAGCACCTGCACCTGCTGCAGAGGAAAGCGACAAGGGAGCTATGGATGTCGATACTTCAGCATTGCCAAGTGATGTTGTCAACAAGATCAATGAGACAAGTGAGAGGTAAAAGAAAAAAAAGATATGATTGGAAAGGGGGGGGAGGAAAATGTGATTAACACATATAGTGTAGTCTTTCACAAGGTCGCCGAAAGAGAAAGCCACCAACTGAGCACACATCTATCGACGCTATCAAGACCTTCACTGAGACATCTACTATTCCTTCCATGCACTCGGCACGTTCCACTGGTATCACTGCCGTTGATTTGGATCACAGTGGTCAATTGATTCTTACGGGTGGCAATGACAAGCATGTGCAAATTTACAACAAGGCCGAGGAAAAGGTATTGGCCAATCTCACTGGTCATACCAAGAAGGTTACTTGTGTCAAATTCCGTGGTCAAGAGGTCGAGCATGATGTTGCATTGAGTGCTAGTGCCGACAAGCATGTGCGTGTTTGGGTGCCTGGTGGAAGCAAGGGTAAGATATCATTTGGACAAAATTCATGAAAAAAGAGTATTGAAGGTGTACAACGTGTTCTAGGTTATCATGTCGGTCACAACATTAACGCGCATGCTGGTGAGGCAACTGGTTTGGCTGTGCATCCTAGCAAGGATTACTTTGTCAGCTGTGGTTTGGATAGCAAATGGTCATTCTATGATTTCGACTCTGGCAAGTCCATTGTTGATGCTGTTGATCCCGAATACACTTCAGGTAAGAGCTCAAAGGAAAAGAAATGGGGTTTCTTTATTATAAGGTATTGACACATGTCTCTATCAAGGTTACACTTCTATTCAATTCCACCCTGATGGTATGATTTTGGGTGCTGGTACCGTTGACTCTGCTGTTCGTATTTGGGATGTCAAGTCTCAATCCATTGCTGCCACCTTTGGTGAACACACTGGCAAGGTCAATGCTTTGGCCTTCTCCGAGAATGGTTACATCCTTGCTACTGCTTCTGAAGATAACATTGTCAAGATCTGGGATCTCCGAAAGTTGAGCAACACCAAGTCTTTCACTTTGGATGATGGTTTCAAGATCAACTCGCTTTCATTTGATCACTATGGTCAATACTTGGCTGTGGGTGGTTCTGGTGTTCGTATCCTCAAGGCCAAGGATGGTTCTTCTTTGGCTTCCTTCAATGACAACACAGCTGATATTACTGGTGTCAAGTGGGCATCGCCTATGGCTGATTCTCTTTTGGCTGCTGGTCTTGATCGTACTATCCGGTATTACAGCGCACCCAATTAGAGAGAAATCATCCACCTTCCACCGATCCCTCTCACCCAACAACCCCCCTTTTTCTTTAAATTGCACAAGAAAATACACAAACAAACAAAAATATTTTAGCATAGTTGTATTTGATTTTGACAGAAGAGAACAATTAAAGCATGTCGTTTGTGGTTCGTATACAATTTCTGATCCATCGCCGTCTTCGTGTCAAACGTCCTTGTCGATCTTTGCCATTGCTCTTTCCTTCATACTCCCAATGATTGTTTGTATAGACCCATCCTCCTTCTTCAGGCGATACAAGAAACTCTATGAAGGATAGATAAGTGAACCATCCAATTCGTGTACCATGGGGATTCCTTTGATTTACCTATCCCTAGTACATCATCAATCCATGGACCAGTTGTATCAAGGTGCCAATTATCTTGCGACCATCGGTATCCTTTGGGAGCTGCCATATCTTCCTTTGGCTGTAGTTGCACTGAACCTGATAAATCAGACCATGGGTTGCGCTCTCCTTCAAGCATCTATGTATACAAGCCATGTCAATTTCTTGATACTATAATGTAGTCTACCCCTTACCTGAGGAGCAAATCCAGTGCCAGGCCACCATCGTTGATTCTCATAAAGCGACACTTGAACTTGTTCATCATTATTTTGACCAGTGCCTTGTTCTTGTGATTGCTGAACATGTTTTACAGGTTGTTGTTGCTGTCGGTCATTATACCAATCGGATGCGCCATTAAACATTTCTTGTGCATAAACCATCGCATCAGGTCCAAGCTCTCGCCAGCAGTACTTTGCAAATCGTGTATTGGCAAGGAACAATGAGCATCCACCAACCAAAGCACATAATCTCAATGGGATCCACCATACAATGATACCAAGTGCAACAGCTGATGCAAGTGTGGCCTGCAAGATCGACATTGTCAACTTTTCATCGGACCAATCAATATATCGCTGATAAGCAGAAGCAGTGTCGTACAAGTTGCTGATCTCGCCCATCATGTTTTGTAAGTTTTGCATGTTGCGTAAATACTCGGGTGATCCTTCACGTCTGATCTTGAGTAGATCTTGTTGCTTTTGATAGCTTGCAAGGAGTAAATGAAGAAGAATGGCGTGGGGTGCAAGTAATAAGAGTCGTGGATACATGCATACAAGAATGTATCCCACCATGGCAACCATGGTATCCAAGGGTTTATCCCAGCTGAGCAGGAGCAATACAGCATCTCGAAAAGCAAACATGAATCCACATCGTGAAGCGAAACGTACAAAGTTCTTGGCTGATATCTGTGCGTTCAAGGGTGGCAAGTTGGCGAGGTATTCATTAGGTGGATCGGGGCTGTCAGCGGCATGTAAGGCTGCAGTGACAATGACGCTTTGAATGTGTTCGGAGGTTGTTGCACGATGTGAAGGACTGAGTACAGCATTGGATGCTAGCGTTGCCTTGCCGACATGACTCATTGTAAAAGAAAGGAATAAAGGATCAGGAACACGTGAATTCCAAGGTGATTTTGTACTGGGAGAAAAGATCGATTTTAATTGGTCAAGCGGTGGAAGAAATGAGAGTGGAAGGAGTTGTCTAATGCATGATTGCCGCTATGATGATGATGCGTTGATATGGGACCAGGATATTAAATGAAGATTACGTGCAAGAAGGAATGATTACTGCTGATCAGGAATGAATTGTGCGAGATACTGTGCATGAGAATCACCCATCTTTGCCTTGGTACGCAACTCTTCAATCATCTGTGCACGACACCATCGTCTCAAATGTACAGCATCCTCTAGCTCTTGTCGTGGAAGAGCATCCAATCCAATAGCTCCTGAAATGACTGCAACACAAATACGCCATGATGCCACCACCTGTTTCAGCATGTCGTAACGTTTATCCACCAATGCCATGTGATACCAAGCCAGCAATGGGATCAACAACATTGCAAGTAGCAGACCCATCAATGTGTAATCAAGGTACTTCCATACTTGATAGGAGAGAGTAATGTATAAAGGCACGCCAATCACCACTGAAAACACCAGCTTGCTCTGTGCGACTGATTCTGTGTATTGCTCGTATCGCTCTGCAAGACGACCAAACAAGTAAATGGGCCAATTGATCATGATGCCGGGTAAAAACAAGGGTATTTGCACTGCCAATGCTGTCCACGTCGATGCCAATCTTACTACAGCCCGTGATAACGTGATTTCTTGCTTCTCATACATGCTGATATCCTGAGGACTTAGTCGCAATAATCGCAAATTCTTGGAAAACGTCAATAGTCGATCCTTGAGCTCATTGGGAGTATCCTTGTTCTCTTCTGAGGGTCGAAGTACATGGATCAAGCTAGTTGAAAAAACATATACACGCATTATTATATATCCCAATGAATATGTAATCCCTTTCCATCGCTTCTTTTACCTTTGTGATACCCGTACATAATCCTCAAGCTTTGTAGTATCAAAGAGAATAAACCGAGCGGCTGCAGCTGCATGAAGAGTATCCCAATCGGGGCTATTGATAGTGCCTTGCTCGACACCATGGGCGATTTTTGCAGTGAGATCCTTGACGGCAGGTTTGGGATTCAGCTTAAACTGTTCCAGGTCATGCGATGTAACACGAATAGGTTCTCCGTATCTTTATGGTAATCGGACGGCGTTAGTACACAAGAGATCAAACCACCCTTATCCGAAACATATTAAACTTACTCGACAACGACATCACTTCGCCACTTGTTCTTTGTTGTATAAGTAATGCCGACAGGTATCACCGTAAGTGGGATATCAGGTTGATGAGAAAGAAATTCAAAGGCTGCCCATGACATTCCATCCTTGAAAGGTAAATGATGCGGTAACGTATATGATGTACCTAATAAGTAGTATCCCCCTCTCCTGGTCAATGCTCCCATTTTACAACCACTATCATAAAAACATACCTTCTGGAAATAATGCAATAACACCTCCATGCTCAAGACACTGTAACGTATGTTCAAACAATTTGGCGTTGCTATGGGTCTTGGTATCCACGGGGAGAACACCTGCTGCATGTAACACCTTGCCAGCTATCGGTATCTTGAAGAAACGCGCCAAGGCCCAAAAGTGACAAGGCCTCTTTTGTGGAAACGTGGCAATGAGAACAGCTGGATCGAGGACCATGTTCATGTGGTTGGCGGCAATCAGGAGCGGACCTGTCGGGCTTATCGGTTTGCGGCTAATGACATGGACATGGCGAAAGTAGACCCATACGGCAAGTCGTGACAAGTACTTGAGTGCTTGATAGATGCGTGAATCATCGGATTCTGCCGATCGTGTCGAAGAAATAGGTTGCTGGGGTGAACGTGACATGAAGAAGAAAGAAAAATAAAAAAAGTGCGTGGGCAAGCGGGAAAGTAACAACGCTGTGTGCCGCGCAAGTCAAACACAAAGAAAATGTGGCCCGTTCCAACACATGAATGTCAAACATAAACGTTCCCTTTCCATCAAGCCCGTCATTATGATTTTACACGCTAATATCGTCATTTATTGTATAGCATTCATTGTCTTTTATCATTATCATGAAGTTGAATGTTACTAGTAGAGTAGCTGGTTGTATCCGCTTAAACGGACTACTTGGTTGTGTCATTTACTCAACCCAAGCCTTCATGTCACCGGCCGAATCAATGTCAATCATTGGTTGGAGGACAACAGCCTGCGTCTCATCTCAAATGCATAACATGGATCGCGTCAGGAATTTGCATTGCACTGCGCGTCACTGTTACACATGCTTGCCCAAAAGTGATTCCGCTTCCTAATGCACGTTGCTATACTACGCGCTTCTTCCTTTGCCATGGCAACCAACGATCGCACGAAAAGAAGGCCATAAGCCGTTTTGATAGCGATGTTCTAAATGGATATAGGCAAGATAAGAATCATTTGATTACGAATATCTTAATCTCTTTTGATCTCGTACCTTCACTTGCAACAAGCTGCGGAAGAGGAGCCATGTTCTCTTTGTCGCTTGCAACGATCTTCTTCACGGTCAACAGCGTATCCTCAAGTCGTTCCTCTAACCCATTGATATTAGGTGAGTGATAGAATTTCATGTATGCAGTATTTTCACTGTACCTTGAGCAGAACATTCGTACAAAATTTACAACCCATTTTGCACCGTTGCTTGATGTGGTTCCTTCCCACTGGCAGAGCTGCTTGGTGTGCATGACGAGCTTGTAATGTCGATATTGTTGATGGAAGGCTATAGAGACAAAGAAGTATTACACTTTGTTTCAACATGCATCAATATACGGTCTACTTACTACATGCTTCTTCCACTTGGTCAAGAGCTTGTTGGCTCGTCGCAAGAGGCCCCTTCATGTAACGGATCTCCTTCAGATCTTTCTTTAGCTCCTGCAATAGTTCCCACCGGTCTTTGTTTGGTGAGTGTGCATGATGGGCAATGAATAGCTGTCTAAACGAAAATCCATTGAGGAGCAATAGTCGAGTGGATGCCATTGTTGTTGTTTTGGACTTTGCTATATGCACCATGCCAAATGCACCATGCCAACTTCAGCACCCGACGTACGTAGACCATGGCACCGTAACCACAAGACGCATCATGGGAGATAGCTATATCTATTGAAAGTAACAAGGTAGCGTGTATGAGTAGTGACTCTTCAAACAACATGATTAGGCTTTACATTTTTATAAGGATCCAACGTATCACAATGAGGACGACGTCAACAACAATGGGAGCAGGATAACAAAGAAACCTTATGAATGATCACAACGATCAGCGCTTATTCGCAAGTTTGCAAGAAATGGGATACACACAAACCTTGGAAGTTTGATCTTGTAAGCAATCAAAGAAGAATGACAGAAGAAAGAGACGTGTGGGAGTACGATGGGCGGCGACAACATCCTTTTATTGTGCACTGTGGGCGTGGGCATTGTTGTCTGTTGGGGATGATGCATTGATAAATTGATCCATGAGCTGATAAAGTGATGGGGCGCAAGTCTGAGGAGCCTAGGTGTAATGTTGTCTATGCATACATCGTCAAAATTAGGGCGGGTGAATAAAATCTATCAACGAAATCAATCACTTGTAAGCCTAATGCAGGTGATGTAATCTATCAAGAAAATCAATTACTTGTACGCTACTTATTTACCAATGAGAGCCAATGCACGAAAACGTGTTGGAATCCAATGACAGCTCCATCCATGAAAATCCCAAAGAACCAGAAGACAAGTAGCTTGCTGAATAGCCCGCACACTATAATAGAAAAGGATGTTGGTTGGGATTGGAGCCAAAAAACGGATCATCCACTATTTACCATTGATAGCCATACGAATAAAACCCTGTTGACATCCAATGATAGCTGCATCCATCAAGAATCCAAAGGGAACAAGACAAGTAGCTCGCTGAATAACCCACATGAAAGAGGGTGTTAGTAGGCATTGAAAGAAAGAATGGACCATTATTTACCAATGACAGCTTCATGCATGAAAATTCCAAAGGACCAGAACACAAGTAGCTTGCTGAATAGCCAACGTACTATAATAAAAGAGGAGGTTGGCAGGCGTTGAAGAAGTGAATGGATCACCATTTACCAATGATAGCCATGTGCACGAAAAGATGCTGACATCCAATGACAGCTGCATCCATGAAAATCCCAAAGAACCTGAAGACAAGTAGCTTGTTGAATAGTCCGCATACTACAATAAAGGAAAGAGGTTGGCAGGCGTTGAAGAAGAGACCGGATCACTATTTACCAATGATAGCCATGTATGCACGAAATCCTGCTGATATCCAAATCTAGCCGATTCTTTGCAATCGTCCGCTTGTTGATAAGACCCGCTACGGTGGCATCCGCGTTGTAAGTTGTAAGCGATGGAACGATACTTGATGGGTATATACAGTGAGAAGGTTGAGTAATACTTGTACCACCAAAGATAGCATACTTACACGATGCCGAAGAGCCCTTACAAGGAGCGAGAACGAACCAATGTGCTGCCCAAGACCACATGCAAATCGAAAAATCATCCATCGAAAATCCCAAACCAGCATCCTAGCTGCGGAAGGGAGCACACTCAGTGATATAGCCGATATGAATGAGATACCAATCCTTTTTCATTGGGTATGGAATGCAGCTTGACGATGGAGTCCTTGACGAGATGCATGAATGCCCTTGGTGACACAAAAGACTTGAACGCGGGCCTTCACTTCTTGTTGATGACATGATCCATCCATAAGACACGTGTAGTTGTAGAGATCCATCAAAAGAATTGCCGATAACAAGAACCACCAAGAGATAGAAAGGTTGCTGATATCAAAGATATACAAGTTGTTCCTTGTTGCTGATGTGATCAATCGATAAGAGACCTTCATTTCAGGATGCCCACCGAATTGCCGATAACGAGAAGAACCAGATGATGGGATAAAGCTTGATATGGCACCAATCATATGCATGCTGTTGTTTGTTGCTGATACAATCCACTCACAAGAGACTTGCATTGGCTGACATTCTCCAGAGAAATCGCCCGTTGCTTGGTAACCAACCACCGAGACGCAATAAAGGTTGACACCACCAAAGGCATACACACTTCCCCATGGCTGACATGATTCACCTATAAAAGATGCACCATAAACAATTGTCCAAACTCATCCAACAATACTTAGCAATCATAGGTGTGATCTTGTAAACTCCAAAGCACCAAAAGACAAGCAGCTCTCTGCAGTGGTCCCTCTAAATAATGGTAGGCGTTTCAGCAAAGGTCTCCAAAGAGCATGAGAGTCCTACGTACCTGAATCACGCAATCATCACCCGCAGACTTGGGAACCAAATAGGCCATCAGGATGTAAAGCAATAATAAAAGCGCACAGCCAAAGAAACGTCATTGTACCGGCACTCTCCTGTGGATCGACGCGATGAAGTGCATCAATAGAGATACCATCTTCTCTCTAAAGGCAAGGAGATCAATAGCCGTAAAACGATGGAGCCGTGCGAACAGAGGATGCAATTTTAAATCCATGAGGCCGCAACAAGAGTCGCACTGTCCCCGGGCACAACATGTAGAGTTCCACAGGAAAGTATAGTACAATGACGTCCTTGACGTGCAGCCTTGATAATAATAGTATCGCCGAAAGAGGATTTGCCACTGCATGGTGTTTGGTAAGTTCACTTGAATCCAACCAATCCCACAATGAACCTCTTACCTTGTGGTGCTGCTCAATAGCATTCTTGTCACAAATGGAAACCGTATCTCCATGCCATCCATGTTGTCTTGCTGCTGTTTCACTGTAAGGTTCGTTAATTAACAATTTTCGCTTTGTAGATCCAATACCACGCATACCATTGAGCCAACCATATACCATTCTTGCTTTGAGATCCGTATCCTGTTGCTGCCAGAGGTACCATCATCCAACATGTTCACCTACCATAAACGCAATGTGAGATAACAAGTAAAACCAACCCACACGCTTTTGTTGTCAGCATACCCAAAAGAGGCAATGTGAAGACGTCTTGAGAACTCTCATTGTGGACATCTCGGTAAGGAAGGCACACGACGCCCTGAACCATGGTGATCACAAGGAATTGCAACCAAATACACCATCCGAAGGCAATACAATAACCAACCTGCAGTGCCAAGGTATGCCACCATATGTACTATACTCTCATTGGATCCTGAAATTGGCATCATAAGAGATATCCACCT